CAACCTCCACCTCCCGGGTACAAGCAATTCTCCTCCCTCAGCCTCCCAAGTAGCTGGGATTACAGGCATGTGCCACCATGCTCAGCTGATTTTTGTATTTTTGGTAGAGATGGGGTTTCACCATATTGGCCAGACTGGTCTCGGACTCCTGACCTCAGGTGATCTACCCACCTTGGCCTCCCAAAGTGCTGGGATTACAGGCATGAGCCACCACGCCCAGACATTTTAAATGTTACGTTGCTGAGTGTCTGGATTTAGTTGTCTTCATGTAAAAATTATTGAATTTTGTTTTTGTGCATACTTAAATTTCATAAGAATCAACTTCATCCTTGTTAGGGTGGCTCTAAGATAGTCTTTACTCTAGGGTTAATTTCATCCTACTGGTAAATCATGACCTCTTGTTTTTCTACTGAATTACCTAGGCGTTCAATGAGGTTGCTCCTCTGTTGTTGGACTTTGAAGGTTTCCCAGAGCTGGGTGAACCCCGGGTTAGCTTAAAAATCCCCCATAGTTTTTCTTTCTCCACTAGTTGTTCATTGTCTAGCCTCATGTAGTATTACCCTATGCATTAACAGCTTAGTATTCAACCAAAGATTCAAGGGGACTCTATGTAGATTTCTGGAGCTTTTTCTCTGTGTTGCTCTCTTTTCTGATACTGTGCCCTGAAAATTCTGTTTGCCTCAGCCTCTCCATATTCCAATCTTGTTATCCTCAACTCAGTAAGGTTGCCATGTCTATTTGGGTTCCCCTTCCTGACCCTACTTTCTGGAGTCTCCAGGGAGAAAGCTGGGGCATCATAGAACCTGCCTCATTTTTCTCTCTTCTTTCAGGGATCACAATCCTAAGCTGTCTGTTATCCAGTATCTGAAAGCACTTATTTTATATATTTTTCTGGTTTTATAGTTATTAATGTGGGAAAGGCAAGCCTAGTTCAGCTACTCCATCATGGCCAGAAGTGAAGTTTTCCTGGTCCCTTTCATCATTTTTCTTCTTCTTTTTTTTTTTTTTTTTTTTTTTTTGACAGAATCTTGCTCTGTTGCCAGGCTGGAGTGAAGTGGCGTGATCTCGGCTCATTGCAGCCTCTACCTCCTGGGTTCAAGCGATTCTCCTGCCTCAGCCTCCCGAGTAGCTGGGATGACAGGTGCGTGCCACCACGCCCAGCTAATTTTTTATATTTTTAGTAGAGATGGAGTTTCACCGTGTTGGCCAGGTAGGTCTCGTTCTCTTGACCTTGTGATCCACCTGCCTCAGCCTCCCAAAGTGCTGGGATTACAGGCGTGAGCCACTGCACCCAGCCAGTTTTGTTTTTAATTGAGGTAAAATTCACTATTTTTACAGTGTACCCCTCAATTATTTTGCAAATCAGGTTTTAGAATGTTCCAGATTCTTCCAAGTTATTTTTCCAGATGCTTATATCTAATCAAATAAAATATTTTAAAAGATTTGGAGTGAGAAACTTGCCCTATCCAAGACTTGAATTAGTAAAATAGAGCATCAGTATCCTCTTTCCCAAAGATAATTTAATTTACTTGAGTGAATTCAGATTGGTTTCTCTTAATATGTTAAAAACACAAAATTCTATATATGATAGGTTATGTTATAAATTGTATTTTAAGCTGATAAACTACAGTTGGTATATTTCTTGGATGAAAATAAATACACAGAAGAGCAATAGAAAATAAAAAGAAAGGGACATGATTAAGAGTCATCTCAAAGTATGCTGTTTGAATAGGCTTCTAAAAATCATGCTTGGCCGGGCGCAGTGGCTCACGCTTGTAATCCCAGCACTTTGGGAGGCTGAGGCAGCTGGATCACCTGAGGTCAGGGGTTCGAGACCAGCCTGGCCAACATGGTGAAACCCCGTCTTTACTAAAAATATAAAAAACTAGCTGGATGCGGTGATGGGCACCTGTAATCCCAGCTACTCAGGAGGCTGAGGCAGGAGAATTGTTTGAACCTGGGAGGCAGAGGTTGCAGTGAGCCGAGGTTGCACCATTGCACTCCAGCCTGGGCAACAAGAGCAAAACTTCATCTCATAAAAGAAAAAAATCATGCGTGAGTTTTTATGTTTATACTTCTATTGTTCAGGTGAGGAACTGAATGACCGCTGTTGTTTCTTTTGTTGAAATTGCCCATTGTGGTTGTGTGTGTTCTGCCTTCTCTTTTTGTGAGTCCCATCTGACTTCAGTAGTTTTTAATAGCTGGAAAAGTCTCCGACTCATTTTGTGCTATTAAAAGAAAAGACAAAATGATTCTTAAAATTGTTGAAACTGTTAGATTTTCTCAACCTCTATTTCTGTTAGAACTGTTAAAGCAAACTTGAGAAAGCAGTCTTTAGGACAAGTATGCAAATAAGTTGACTTTCGAAAGTTTTCAAAAGACAAATCTTGGGAGAGATCTAGGATTTGAAAGTTGGGCCAGCACTTAGGAGTTAGGATGTCCACCAGTAATGGAGGTTAAGGCAAGAAACTGGGAAGATGAGGAATGGGATGAGTAAGATCTCGCAGGCTAGGAGAGCCATGGGAGAGGAGGCACTGAGAAGCAAGGTGGCTCAGAATATAATTAGGTTAAAGGGACAGATGTGAAGTTTCTGTAAGAAAACAACTGAGGTGAGCAATTCTTATTTTTGAATGGGACAAAATCACAACCTGTATGTGAGAATAGGCAAGCCACATTATAAAGCGTGTAAGTTAATTTGGCAAAAATTGGAACTGTTAATCAGCTCTAAGACAGATTTTCTGTGTTATCAGTACAGTCATAGATCTAGTTAAAATTCATTAAAGTGTTTTCATTTTTGAAATAGTTCATTTTTTGAAAGCTATAAGTATTAAAGCATACATTTAGGAGAAAGTAAATACCTACCTATTTTATGAGAGTCTTACCTGCCATGCTGCTCTGTTCAACTGAAACACCATCAGTATACATCATTTATATTTGTGTGTGAATTCTGTAGATTTAGCCATGTTCCCAGTCATTTGACTTTTACCTTTTTTTTTTTTCTTTTTATGAGTTGGGGTCTCGCTCCATCACCCAGGCTAGATCACAATGCTGTGATCATAACTCACTGCAGCTTCCAATATCTGGGCTTAAGCAGTCCTCCTGCCTCACCCTCCCACCCTGTAGCTGGGACTGCAGGTACATGCCACCATGCACAGCTAATTTTATTTATTTATTTATTTATTTATTTAGTAGAGATGAAGTCTCACTGTATTGCCCAGGCTGGTCGCAAACTCCTGGCCTCAAGTGATGCTTCTGCCTCAACATCCCAAAGTCCTGAGATGACAAGTGTGAGCGACCACACCCAGCCATGTTGCCAGTAATTTTCAAGTTAAAAATTGTTTTTAGCCCTGACAATTTTCATCTTTTTTTTTTCTCAATTTGAGCCATTCACACTTAAGACACATTAACCAGAGAAGAATAAAGAAAGGGTTAACAAGGACCACCAAAAACCTCCAGGAGCTTCCCAGGAGCTGGAGAAAAAAAGTCCTATCTTGTCTATAGTGAAGAAAACTTGAGTCTCAAAGACACCCTAAAATCCTAGGAATTCCCTATAAATATCAGAAGCAAGAAAAGAATTTTCAGTTTTAATAATCAACAGTAGCAGATTAGATCTTTAAATTGTATGCATTCGTTTTTTATCAAGAGTTCTGTGCAACAGTTGTGGTGTTTTGGGCTTTGGGTATAGTTATTATTTTTTCATCCACATGAGGTTAATTTCTTAAAGTTTTTTGGAAGTTTTTTTTGTTTCTTTTTTTTCATCAGACTGTCACCAAAGTTTATTTGCTGGCAAAGCTGGTTTTCCCACAGATTTGTAGGTAGGAATGGTTTAAATGAAAATTGATGGAAGTCTTAGTTAGCAGTTGCTCTGCCAAGAATAACATTTTTGTGTGCTTTCTGTATGTGACAGTTTTGGTCAGCTGTACTGACAGAGCTGGGCTAAGATATTTTCCTGCCTGTTAATCAAGGCCACACAGACAAAGCTCAAGGAAGGATGATCCCTGCCTCAGGAAGTTTTGAATCAACTGCTATTTTTAACAAGTATACAGTAGAACTTGAGATCAGGTCTTTACTCAGTTGGTAGGAAAAGTTTTCCACTGAAGCCTACATATGAGGAAATGGTTTATGGGCCTGAATGAAGCCTCTGTGTGAAAAGAAGGAATGTGACAGTGGCTGTAAGTATTTGTGTTGATTTGGGCCAAGGGTGTGGTAGCATAGATGTGGGAAGTCCAGTCATCAAAATAGGTTATTACATTTTAAAGCAACTGATAGTTAATGGGCACTTTGAGTTGTCTTTAGTGTATATGGAATCCTGTGCTGCTAATAGTAAAGTTGAAATAGGCTATATGATGGGCTGATATTATTAATCAACGTAGGACAGGAGGAGGAAGTTGGCTATTGGTGTGTTTCCATGCTAACTGGCTCTTGCTGTGGACATACATAAATTTTGGGGGGTTTTTGAGATGTAATTCTGTGTGTATATATGTTCCTTATGATACTCCATTGCTCCTTGTTTCATTAAGAGAAGGTTTCATAAAGAATTAATGTATGCCTAGGTGCAGTGCCTCATGCCTATGATCCCAGCACTTTGGGAGGCCAAGGGGGTAGATTGCTTGAACTCAGGAAGTTCAAAACTAGCCTGGGCAATATGGAGGAACTCCGTCTATACAAAAAATACAAAAACTTAGTCAGGTGTGGTGTCACGTAACTGTAGTCACAGCTACTCAGTAGGCAGAGATGGAAGAATCACTTGAACCCAGGAGGCAGAGGTTGCAGTGAGCCAAGATCACCATCACTGCACTCCAGCCTGGGTGACAGAGCAAGACTCTGTCTCAAAAAAAAAAAAAAAAGAATTAATTTATTACAAAATAATATTGTATACTGCTATGTATAATTTTTTCTAAAACCTCATTCTACCTAACTTTAGGAAATTAAATATGGCAGAACATTAAAGCTGACAATTTGAAAAATACCACAAATAATGTTTTGTTAGTATTATTATCTCACCATCTTAGGAGTGCCTTTATGTAGTTGAATCACTTAATAGATGACAGGTATGTTTTTACATGTGCAATGTATATGAATTATGTAGGGATAGGTGGGCAGTATTTCAGTGGAGTTTTAATTAGGAAATTATAAAATGTGTTAACATATTTTTGTGTCATTTTCACAGGATTATTCAAGATCAGGTTGTAGCCATTTTCAACAAGGATCACTGATCAAAATTGTTCTTTTTACAAAGAGATTTACAAGTTAAACATGAAGGGAAAATACTGGAATCATTTGGATTCTGACAGGATAAAAAATACAATATTTCACATTTACTTGTAATGGAACCTTTGTAAGATTAATCACTTGTCATTCACCCAGTTGGGAACATGGATGTTGGTTTTTCTCGTACTGCTGTTCAGACACTGTCAAGAAGCCACTGCAAAAATATCAAACAAAAAATTTCTCAATGGGAAGGAAGGGCTAATATATCTAATCCAGAAAAGTGGTGTCCAAAGGACTTTGGAGTGAGATATAACTGTCACCAAGCGATCCTTCCTAAGAAAAATCCTATAGCTGACACAAAGAGCAAAAACTTGGATGTAACCAGCTGTGAGAATGTAGGTCTAGATGTAAATGAAGATACCAAAAGCCATGATCAAAGTGAGAATGAAAATAAGAAACAGGAATATGATGATACACACTTCTTTAAAAATGAATCAGAATCCAACTGGGTATGTTCTCGGGTCAAAGAAATTGAAAGCTGTAAAGAAGATGTCTTAGATCCAGAGACTTCATTACCTCCAGGAAACTTCTATACCTCACAAATACTGTGGAAGAAAATAGAAGCACTTCCCCCAGATAAACTCTTAAATTTGGCTTTAGAACATTGTGACTCTTCAGAAAAAGAACTGAACTTCAGAGTTCTGGATAGTTCATATGGAATAACCAAGAGCTTAGAAAATATTTACTCTGAGCCTGAGGGGCAAGAATGTGGACCTTCCATAAATCCTTTGCCAAAACCTCATAGGACATTCAGATATTTATCTGAATCTGGTGTTATGCCGTATAAAGAAAGAAATTGTGACAAAAAATACTGTGAAAATAATTCTTGTGCACAATCTTCTTTGGCCTCTTCTCAGGAACCTGAACCAAAGAAATATGGTGGAAAAATAAGAGGAAGATCTAAAAGGTATGTTTTTATCCTACAGATAAAGACTTGTAGGTATTTTCCTTACAGGATTATTGAGCTTCTTTTTCCTTTTCAAACCAGTTTCCATTTCCCAGCTTAGGTGGTGGCCCTGATTTGAACATGCAGGTGTTGATTAATGTGGAAGGAAAATAAGAGAAAAAAGTAGAAATGTAGTAATGTCTAAGATAATCTACTGACATAAGAGCATCGGAACACCTTCCATTTTATTAATATATCTTTAAGAATCTGGGCCAGCGCCGGGCATGGTAGCTCACTCCTGTAATTCCAGCACTTTGGGAGGCTGAGGCTGGCAGATCACTTGAGGTCAGGAGTTCAAGACCAGCCTGGCCAACATGGTGAAACCCTGTCTCTACTAAAAATACAAAATTAGCTGGGCGTGGTGGTGTGCACCTGTAGTCCCAGCTACACTGGAGGCTGAGGCAGAAGAAACACTTGAACCTGGAAGGCTGAGCTTGCAGTGAGCTGAGATCGTGCCACTGCACAGCCTGGGTGACAGAGCAAGACTCAGTCTCAAAAAAACAAAAAACAAAATTAATCTATAGGAGCTGGGTGTGCTGGCTCAATCTCAGCACTTTGGGTGGCTGGGGCAGGAGGATCACCTAAGGCCAGGAGTTCAAGACCAGCCAAACACTAGACAGTGCAACATAGTGAGACCCTGTCTCTGTAGAAAAAAAAAGAGAAAAAATTAGCCAGGTGTGGTGGTGTTCCTGTCGTCCTACCTACTTGGGAGTATTACTTGAACCCAAGAGCTCAGGCTACAGTGAGCTGTGATCACTTCACTGCACTCCAACCTGGGCAGCAGAATGAGACCCTGCTTCTAAAGTAAAATAAAATAAAAATTAAATTAAATTTAAAAATTCTGTAGGGAAGCAGTAACATTCTTCCACTTCATTTAGGGCATGCTGGCCTCAGCCCTACTTTTCCTTACTAAGTGAACTTAATAAAGGAACCCAATGTAGAACATGAATATGATTGGCTGCAAGCATCCAGTTTTCTCATGGTGTTTATAAGGTGCAGCCTACTTCATTATTCTTAGATCTCTGATAAAACACCTTTGTAATTTTGCATACAAGTTCTGTACTCATTTATTTCTGTCTCCCATACCAATTTAAAGAATATTAGAATTTTCTGTAATCCTAGCACTTTGGGAGGCTGAGGCAGGCAGATCACCTGAGGTCAGGAGTTCAAGACCAGCCTGGTGGTCATGGTGAAACCTCGTCTCTACTAAAAATACAAAAAAGAGCTGGGTATGGTGGCATGCACCTGTAATCCCAGGCGTAACATCCCTAGAGCAATGTAGAATCACTTGAACCTGGGAGGCAGAGGTTTCAGTGAGCCAAGATTGTGCCACTGCACTCTAGCTCGGGCAACAGACTGAGATTCTGTCTCAAAAAAATAACAATAATAAAACAATCAAATAAATAAATAAAAATTTTAAAAAATAAAGAGAGTTTTGAAAGATATAACTTTAAAATATATCTATTTTCTTAAGGAAATCCTTTGAATTTGAGGATATTCAGCACTTTCGAAATCGGAACACACAGACGATTCATGAAGAACTTGGAAAAAATTCTGGGTCAGCACTTTATTACACACAGTCTGAGGACAATATCTATGAAGATATCATATGTAGGTGTTGACAACTTTGCAATTAAATTTGATGATTATGTATTTGGTGAAGCCTTTAATTGTAGGATGGTATTTTCTTCTATAATCAAGCGTATATTGCCCTAGGTTTTTCTCTTTAGCATGGAAACCTTTGGTGTATAAATTATTTTATTCTGTAATGAATTTTACAACTAATGTGATAGACTGCTCAGCTCATAAGTAGATTTTTATAATATAGCATTTTGAGAATTCTTTTAGCTCTGTTGGACACATAAGTGGCTTTGTAAGCTTAAAGTGCTTTAACCCACATCCCTACAGCAATGTCGAATAAGAAAGCTGAACGTAGTTAGCTTTTTCTTTCTTTTGCTAGCTGTGGTTATCTTTGCATTTAGTTATGTTCATGTAAGCATTTTTTAAAATTATTTTTTAAGATCCCACCAAAGAAAATCCATATGAAGATATTCCAGTGCAGCCTTTACCTATGTGGAGATCCCCTTCAGCATGGAAGCTACCACCCGCTAAAAGTGCTTTTAAAGCGCCCAAGGTATAACCAAATAATTAATTGAAGAAAACATTAGAATCTTATTCATGGTATCTACAAAAAGATTAAGGGTGTTTAACTGGGGCCAGAACTAAGAGGCACTGAAATGTAAGGTTTAATGTTGGTGGTGGTTTTTTTGTTTTGTTTTGTTTTGTTTTTGGGATAGCATACAGCTTTTTTTTTTTTTTTTTTTTTTTTTTGGTGGTTGTTTTAACACCTCAAAAATAATTGAATATATATGCCTTTAGACAGCCATGAACTTTTCAGTTCACTTTAGTTCCCACTTTCCCTATTAATCTACGTCAACCTATGACCATTAAATTACCTTCCTAGTCCCTGAAAGCATGCAAGATGCCTAGAAGCAAAGGCTCCCTAGAGTTCATAAAAACTGTGAGCCATTGTTTTCTGGGAATTTGATTACCCTGTAGTGGAACTTTGGATTAGAAACCTGAGAAACATCTTTATAAATGGTGAGAAAGAAATTATGTTATCTTCATTTGAAATGATTTTAAATGAAAAACAGGATAAATGCGTTTCTGGAATAGCTTTGACTTTGTATGATAACACAGGGATTAACTAGATGATGCTGGCCAGGCGCAGTGGTTCACACCTATAATCCCAGAACTTTGGGAGGCCGAGGTGGGAGGAATGCTTGAGCCCAGGAGTTTGAGACCAGCCTGGGCAACCTGGTAAAACCCCATCTTTACAAAAAAAAAAAAAAAAAATTAGCCAGATGTGGTGACACGTGCCTGTAGTCCCAGCTGTTCAAGGGGCTGAGGTGGGGGGATCGCTTGAGCTCAGAGGTTGCGGCTGCAATGAGCCATGATCATGCCACTGAGTTCCAGCCTGGGTGACAGAGCAAGACCCCATCTCAAACAAACAAACAAACAACAACAACAGAACTAGGTGATCTTACCAGTACATCTTATCCTGTTTTAGCTCCCTCCCAAACCTCAATTCCTTCACCGGAAGACTATGGAAGTAAAGAACTCACAAGCTTATTTGCGGTCAAAGCTCACAAAAGATACCACTTTGCCAGTCACTTTAACGGAATGGAAGCTTTTCCGAGCTGGTGAAGTTGCAAACAGGAAAATGAAAAATCTTCCAAGGGTAAAGACTCCAGTGCTTTCATTCTTTGACTCTTACTTCAGCATTTCCATGAATGAGAATAAGTAAACTGTAGACTGGAATGAATAATAGGTTAGAACTGACCTACTGGGATTAGAAGACTTGGAAGGCAGCGTTACGTTTTAAATTTTTGCTCATGCTAGAAAAGTGCATGAATGGCTTTTGCCAGAGTTTCATTATGGATTTGTAAAATTGATTTAGATGGGGACTTCACTTCAGTTACTTTAGCTCTCATTAAAATCATCTGCCTATTTCAAGGAAGCACCAGAATCTTATATAAAAGGGCGTTCTCTCAGGATGGCTTCAGTGTCGTTCTAATTCACTCATTCATATCATTGCCAAAGTGAGTTCAGTTTTGTGCTTGAGTTTACAGATTTTCAGTAACGAAAAAGTATATGCCATTTATTTGGGGCAAAAATTTCCAAAGAAATAAACAAATCTATTACTTGGGAATAGAAATTATCAGCAATCATAATACGTAAATGACTTCTCCCTCAAGGGAGAAAAGGCGGTAAGTCTGTACATCATCTCTACTAGAAGCATTGCAACCAAAATGAAGAAATTGAGATTACTTGCAGATAGACATATATATTTTTTTTCTTACATGTTTACTTATTTTGTAGAGACAGAGTCTCGCTGTATTACCCAGGCTGGTCTTGAACTCCTGGCCTTAAGCGATCCTCTTGCCTTGACTCCCCAGAGTTCTGGGACTGCAGGTGTGAGCCACTACACCTGACTGATAGACATTTTCTTTTAGGAGAAATACTTAAGGAATTATATGAAAAATTTTTAAACTTTCTCTGTTACTTTGTTCTGCTGTAATGCAGGGTGTTATCAGGATTGTCAAAATACTATGCAAATATTCTACTGTAATGAAGAAATCAGATCACTTAAATATTATTCCTTCTTTAATCCCATCTGAATTAGCTATATATGTTCATTTAACATGTAATTTTTTTTTTTTTTTTGAGATGGAGTCTCGCTCTGTCGTCCAGGCTGCAGTGCAGTGGTGCAATCTCGGCTCACTGCAAGCTCCACCTCCTGGGTTCACGCCATTCTCCTGCCTCAACCTCCTGAGTAGCTGGGACTACAGACGCCCGCCACCATGCCTGGCTAACTTTTTTGTATTTTTAGTAGAGACGGGATTTCACTGTGTTAGCCAGGGTGGTCTCGATCTCCTGACCTCGTGATCCACCCACCTCGGCCTCCCAAAGTGCTGGGATTACAGGCTTGAGCCACTGCGCCCGGCCTAACATGTACTTTTTGTACCTGATTTTAACATTAAACAAAAGTCACATCTATTTCTTGGGTTAGTAACTGTTGATTGATTCCTTGGGAAATATTCTATTCCACAGTTTAATTCTTATGATCAGTTTTCTGCCCCTTCCTCTTTACTATGTGAAAAGTTAAAGACATAGAGGTCTTCTAAAGCTAAACTGGGCTGGGCATAGTGGCTCACGCCTGTAATGCCAGCACTTTGGGAGGCCAAGGCGGGCAGATCACGAGGTCAGGAGATCGAGACCATCCTGGTTAACACGGTGAAACCCCTTCTCTACTAAAAAATACAAAAAATTAGCTGGGCATGGTGGCAGGCGCCTGTACTCCCAGCTACTTGGGAGGCTGAGGCAGGAGAATGGCGTGAACCCGGGAGGCGGAGCTTGCAGTGAGCTGAGATCACACCACTGCACTCCAGCCTGGGCAACAGAGCAAGACTCTGTCTAAAAAAAAAAAAAAAAAAAAAAAAGAGCTAAACTGATCTTTCTTAGTGAAAAAAAAAACCAGTAACTGTTTATCTTTCTGTGTATGATGAGGAATATTTTTTTAAAAAGAGGCTTAAAGAACTGTCAGGCATCTTGCAGTAGCTCCGTCCTCCGGTAGATCATGTTGGCACAACAAAGCAGCCTCCGACATGGTCAAGAAACGACAAATTGTGTGTTCATAGGGAGAAGAATGCAAAAACCTTAAGGGACTGCGTTGAAGATGTGGTTCTTCTAATGGCATTAACAAATATTTAGGAATCATGGATTATAGAGTTTAATGAGACCCAGGGAGGCTTTACAGCACTTCTGATTTCATGCCTCAATATTTTATGTATTATGGATCTCAAGTACTCGAAGCTTTTTCTGTATCTGATGATAGGTGATATGATCTAACTTTTCCCTTTCTAATATTTTTCTGAAGGTTTTTGGAGATGTGAGGAGAAAAAAATGATTATGAATTTTTAATTGTCAGGCAGGAACAAGCCATGACAGCATTTCTACCCATGACCCTCCTTGGATTAAATCTTGTTAGGATGTCCCTTATGCAATACAAAGTTTGGCTTTGGAGTATCTTGTAGAACAACATTCCATAAGAAAGTCCATTTTCATTTATTTCCCCTTTAAGGCCTCCAGCTGTCCCTGGAAGGGAAACTGCCTCACAGTTTCACCTCACTGATCTAGTCCATTTGCCTCTTCCCCACTCTTCCGTTCCTTCCCTGCTGTGGAATCCTGTGTCGGATTCTTTGCTAGAGTACATTTCCTACTGCCTTTATTGTTTGTGTTGTGTGTACAGCAGTATGATTTCCATCATTTCTTAGGAAGAATATTCTACAGTATTTCTTGCAACTAGGAGGCTCTTCTTCCTAGCTCATGACAGAAATTTAAATTTATCACTTTATCGCATAGTTTTAGTACAGTTCTCTTTCCTTTATACTTGAATATACTTTTGATTCTACTTTTCAAATGCAAATTAACAATTATGCTATTTTGGGTCATTATGTAACCCAAATATATATTTATTTCCATACATCTTTCCTATAGCTCTTAGTACTTTTTAATTTTAGATTCTCTTATTTGTTTTCTGTAATGGTGATATTTAAGAACATTGGCAATTTTTCACTTGCGTTGCAGCGATAAAAATCTTTAAGAGCACAAACTCATCCAAAAATGTGGTAATAATCTGTGTATTGGAAGCATGTGTTTCTTACATGGTTTTTTGGGGGTGGGTGGTTGGCAGGGGACGGTGGTTTGCACTGGACTGATTCACTGCCTGTTGATTGCCAGGATGGCTAGAGAAACAAGGACAAAAGAGAATACAAGAGCATTTTTCTCGGGGAACTTTATTGGTTGTTATCATATATAATGTTCCTAACAATTGTAATTCTGGGCATTAAGTATGTTAAATCAGGATTGATACTTAAGAAAAGCTTGGAATTTTAAGAAAAAAAGAGAAATATTTATAGAAAAACTAATCAATTCCTCCTTTTTAAAGTACCTGTTGATCAGCTCTGAATCTCCTCTTTTTTACCACATTCTGTGTGTGTCTCCTGTCTCTCTTACACACACATATCTCTCCCAGCAGCAAAGAAAACTTTCTAATGAGTAATACTTATGAAATGGAGAGAAGCAATTATATAACAATTTAAAAATAAATGGTCTGGATTTTACTTGCTTGAGAAATAGATTGATGAGTGGAAGAAAAAACATAGTTTTTGTATTTCAGTATATTTGGGTCTCGTAATTTTATGACATATTTCTGAAATAAATGATAATGTTAGTACTCTTAGAATATTCCCTTTGACAGAAGCTTTCTAAGTATGTTTATCCGCTCCTTGGGAAGAATTTCTGGGAGCAGAAATAACTATGCCTCCCCTTGCCTTTTAGATAAATGAGTGTTCCACTTCCTACTCCAGGCAAGTGAGAACTTGAGTTTAATAGTAGAGGCTTGATCACTATACAAAGGGCAATAGCCACATTTCCTGCATGTTGTGACATGGAGTGACAAGGAATCTAAAAGCCTGTGCTGGGTTCATACGACATCCTTTCCCATTTTCTTTCCCCATGTTATGTGGACTTGGTATTAGAACAACATATCATCTAATTAAAGGTCATCATTTTAAATCCAAAATTCAAAAAGGTAAAGGTTTCTATTTATAAAATAGGTCTTTTCTCTGAATAAGAATCCTTAATAGATTAATATCATCAAACTGTGAAACTTTTGGGTGTTGATCTTAATTTGTATTTTTCTGGTCTTTTTTCAGCTTGTATTGAAAATAGATGACATATTTGAATCTAAAAGAGGGAAGAAGAAGGTAAAGTTACATTCTTACACTGGAAAGGAATTACCTCCAACAAAAGGTAAGAATTGTTTTCTGTTTCAGCTATCCTGTAGCTGTCAGGATATAAGAGGAGAATCACCATATAACTTAATGTTTGATATGTATTAAAAATTTTGGCTTAACTTTCCTGTTATCCCACTTAAGCATAAACTTCTTTAAGGGATTGTTTCTCAAATCCATTTTATTTAATTCTGTGCCAAGTAATAACTATTGGATGAACAAATAAAAAATGCAAAAATAATCATAAACCAATGATACTAATTTTCATAGACAAATTGAATCACTATTTTGTAGTCCTACTTTGATTTATAATCATTTATCAGTATAGACTTTTGTTGTAGGTATGAAAACATTAGTCTTGTATAGACTGAAGGTATGTGGTACTCAACTTGTAGTCATTTAATAAGTTTTATCCTGGCCAGGCATGGTGGCTCACGCCTGTAATCCCAGCACTTTGGGAGGCCGAGGCAGGCAGATCACAAGGTCAGGAGTTCGAGACCAGCCTGACCAACATGGAGAAACCCCGTCTCTACTAAGAATACAAAAATTAACTGGGCGTGGTGGCGCGCACCCATAATCCCAGCTACTCAGGAGACTGAAGCAGAAGAATCACTTGAACCCAGGAGGCGGAGGTTGCAGTGAGCTGAGATCATGCCACTGTGCTCTAGCCTGGGCAACAGAGCGAGACTCCATCTCAAAAAAAAAAAAAAGTTTTATCCTTCAGATGCCTAGATAAAATTTATATTGTTAACTAAGAAATTGTCAATATTTATAATAAATCATTAGAACTTTCTTAAAAACTTATGCAAGATTCTTAACTTGGTTGTCTGGGAATATGGTTTGGCTGTGTCCCCACACAAATTTCAACTTGAATTGTATCTCCCAGAATTCCCACATGTTGTGGGAGGGACCTAGGGGGAGGTAATTGAATCATGGGGGCCAGTCTTTCCCATGTTATTCTCGTGATAGTGAATAAGTCTCACAAGAACTGATGGGTTTATCAGTGGTTTCTGCATTTGCTTCTTCTGATTTTCTCTTGCTGCCACCACGTAAGAAGTGCCTTTTGCCTCCCACCATGATTCTGAGGCCTCCCTAACCATATGGAACAGTAAGTCAAGTTCAGCCTCTTTGTTTCCCAGTCTTGGATATGCCTTTTTTTTTGAGATGGAGGTTTGCTCTTGCTGCCCAGGCTGGAGTGCAATGGCGTGATCTCAGCTCAGTGCAACTTCCATCTCCCAGGTTCAAGCGATTCTCAGCCTCAGCCTCAGCCTCCCAAGTAGCTGGGATTACAAGCGTCCACTACCATGCCTGGCTAATTTTTTGTGTTTTTAGTAGAGACGGGGTTTCATCATGTTGGCCAGGCCGATCTCAAACTCCTGACCTCAAGTGATCCACCGCCTCAGCCTCCCAAAGTGCTGGGGTTAGAGACGTGAAGCACTGTGCCTGGCCTTGGGTGTGTCTTTATTAGCAGCATGAAAATGGACTAACACATCTGGCAAATATGTAGAATTTAGCAATTTTTGTTTATAAGTTCCTTAGAAACAACAGCTAAGTCATAGCAAAGGAGACTATTTCTTCTTTTTGCAGACTTTTAAAGATAGAATTTTCTTTTCTTTTTTTTTTCTTTTTGATACAGAGTCTCTCACTCTGTCACCCAGGCCAGAGTGCAGTGGTGTAATTTCAGCTCACTACAACCTCTGCCTTCTGGATTCAAGTGATTCTCCTGCCTCTTCCTCCTGAGGAGCTTGGGATTACAGGCGCATGGCACCACACCCAGCTAATTTTTTCTAAGTTGAGATGGGATTTTACCATATTTGGCCAGGCTGATCTTGAGCTCCTGACCTCAAATGATCCACCTCCCTGGCCCTCCCAAAGTGCTAGGATTACAAGCATGAGCCACCACACCTGGCCAGAATTTTCTTTTTTTTTCTTTTGCTGCTGCTTTTTGTTTTTTGAGACAGTCTTGCTCTGTCTCCCAGGCTGGAGTCCAGTGGCGCAATCTCAGCTCACTGCAAGCTCCGCCTCTCAGGTTCACGCCATTCTCCTGCCTCAGCCTCCCGAGTAGCTGGGATTACAGGTGCTCACCACCACGCCCGGCTAATTTTTTGTATTTTTAGTAGAGACGGGGTTTCACCGTGTTAGCCAGGATGGTCTTGATCTCCTGACCTCGTGATGCGCCCGCCTCGGCCTCCCAAAGTGCTGGGATTACAGGCGTGAGCCACTGCGCCCAGGTATCTCTAAGTAGGTTATTACCGAGCCCTTAATTTATTTGTAGTCTATGCCTTATGGATTAGGAACATTCTAGTAAATTTGGCTCTACGACAAGTTTTTGAAGAGCCAGTTTTTTGACTGTATTAATGTTGAAAAGAACAAAAAATCCTCCAACTTCTAGCCAACTTCTGCTGTCCAAAACAAAAGTAAAGAAAAAAGGAGCAGCCTCTACATTGTAACCCTTCACTTATGGCTCAAATAAAATAAGCATTTACCTTTCCCTACCTCTGACCAACTCCTCCAGTGCACCAGAGAAATTTCTCTCATGCCTGAGGATCTCCTGCCTTTATCATCACAGTTCTCAGATTTTCATTTTCTTTCTTAAGCTTTTGTCTGTATATCAACAATGCCTAATACAATAGATAATTATATTTACCTACTCTGAAGTCCCTGCTAGAGTTTACTGAATATATTCCAACCTGAATATTTGTTGATTTTTTTTTTTCTTTTCTGAGACAGAGTCTCACTCTGTGACACAGGCAGGGGTGCAGTGATGCAAACATGGCTCACTGTAGCCTCAACCTCCTGGGTTCCAGCTTTCCTCCCACCAGAGCCTCCTGAGTAGCTGGGATCACAGGCTCATGCCCACCACACCCAGCTAATTTTTAATTTTTTATAGAGACAAAATCTCACTATGTTGCCCAGATTGGTCTTGAATTCCTGGGCTCAAACGATCCTTCTGCCTCGGCCTCCCAAAGTGCTGGGATTATAGGCATGAGCCACCATACCTGGCCCTAAATATTTCTTAACTTTCAGTTTTCACGTATTACAAAAGGACTTACCAGCCTTCATCAATTCTGTCATTATAATTTTGTGTGTTGAAGTCTCATATTGAAAGTGGACTATCTGGTACTTTTTCGATCCCTGTGAATTCTCAGTAGATTTTTCTCTTGCCTCATTCATTGTCTTAGAATACAGGTCATCAAAACCCGTAGATGAGAATATATTAAGCCAATTAAGTGATCTTTTATAAGGACTTTTCTAGTTATATTGCCTTTTCTCCTTTTCTTCTCTCTTTTCTTTCTTTCCAAGCACTTCCTAAGTTTCTAAAAGGTACCTGGTCCTAAGACTATAGATAGGACCAGGAGCTCACAGTGTTCGTTTCTTCCTCTGAATAATATGTTATAGCCACACTATACTTTTTGTCATGGTGGTTAATTTTGAGTTATAAAACATATGTAATATGCAATATTTAAATAAGCGCTTTTTCTGTAACATCTCTTATGTGTCTTTCCCACCTAAGAATAGGCAACATTTATTTTAATGTTCTCTTATTCCTTATTATAAAATGAAAAGCCAGAGTTTTCCAAACTTCCCCCTTGCACACTTAGAAAATTTCATGTGCATGCAAATACATTTTCTACACAAATACTCTTACACTATTCAGGCTTTGTATGCCTTCCTTTTTTAAAAAGCTTAATTAATGTATTTCAGAGCTCTTTCAATATCAACACATAGAGATCCACATAGCTGTACTGTATTTCATTGCATAGAAGTAAAATAATTTTATTTAACTAGTAGACAGTTTAGTTGTTTCTAACATTTTATTTAACCTGTAGATATTTAAAAGTGTGTGTGTGTTTACATAAAAATCTTCAATGCTGCAAATGCGTCTTTTACTTATGTTTCTATATAAGACTATTTTTGTAGAATAAGTTCCTAGAAGTGGGCTTAATCACAGAACATATGGATTTAAAATTTTGGCCAGGCATGGTGGCTCACACCTGTAACTCCAACAGTTTGGGAGGCTGAGGCGGGTGGATCACTTGACCCCAGGAGTTTGAGACCAGCCTGGGCAACATGACGAAATCCTGTCTCTACAAAAAATACAAAAATTAGCTGGGTGGCCAGGTGTGGTGGCTCACACCTATAATCCCAGCACTTTGGGAGGCCAAGGTGGGCAGATCACGAAGTCAGGAATTCGATACCAGCCTGACCAACATGGTGAAACCCCGTCTCTACTAAAAAATACAAAAATTAGCCAGGCATGGCGGCACACCCTGTAATCCCAGCTACTCAGGAAGCTGAGGCAGAGAATCACTTGAACCTGAAAGGCAGACTTTGCAGCGAGCCGAGATCGCGTTGTTACACTTCAGCCTGGATGACTGAGACTCTGTCTCAAAAAAAAAAAAATTAGATAGGTGTTGTTGCATGCAGCTGTAGTCTCAGTTCCTAGGGAGGCTGAGGTGAGAGGATTGCTTGAACCCGGGAGGTGGAGGTTGCAGTGAGCCAAGATTGTGCCACTGCACTCCAGCCTGGGCGACAGAGTGAGACTCCGTCTCAAAAAAAAAAAAAGAAATTAGCTGGGTGTGGTGGCACACGCCTATAGTCCCAGCCTACTCGGGTGGCTGAGCTAGGGGGGATCACTTGAGCCCAGGTGGCAGAGGTTGCAGTGAGCCAAGATTGTGCCACTGCATTCTAGCCTGTGCAGCAGAGTGAGACCCTGTCTCCAAAAAAAAAAAAAAAAATTTTAACTGCTGCCAAATTGTCCCACAAGCAGATTGTAACAGCTTATGTTTCTACAAACATCATTTGAAAATACCTCTTTCCCCATAATCTTCATCAATAAATACTATGCTTTATTAAAGCTTTTTATGGCAGTATCATGGTTGAAAATGTGTGTCTTGTTTATTGTTTTAATTTACATTTATTTCATTATGAATTTGGGCAATTTTCATGTTTATCAACAACTTACAAATCTTTTTCTATGAATTGCCTGTTCCCACCCTTTATTCCTTTTTTCTGTTGTGCTTTTTCTTCTTGATTTGTAACAATTTTTTGAACATTAAGAAACAGCCTTATATCTGCAATGTGTTTACAGATATTTTCCCAGTTTATCGTTCACTTTTTGAGTTTAATACTGACTTTTAAATTAGATACAAGTTTATATAATCAAACTTCACTTATGACTTCTAGGCCTTGTTTTTTTCTGATACATTTAAATGTTTTCCCTTTCTTTGCATTTCTATTTTGCTTTAACTTTTCAAACTTAATCTAGAAATGTTTCATTTATTTATTTTAAAAGCTGCTTTGTGTGTGTGTGTGTGTGTGTGTGTGTGTTGCCTGTGTGCTCAGAATTATACAGAACACTCCCTTGTGAAAACAAGATAGCCCCTTATCTCCAAAATACTTAAAATATGATTGGGGAAAATGAAAACAGTTCAAAGCATTGTGAGTACTATGAGAATCTGGAGTAAAGAAAAAATCAATATGGACTAGAAGTAGTTTAGAGGCATCATAGAAGAGGTAGGCTGACTTGGTAATATCTCTCTCCTAGTTCTCATGGTTTCATGTTGTTCTAAATTTATAGTCTGGTTGGTGTTTATATTCTTGGTTAGCTCTCTTGGTGTTTGCTTTTGATACTTTATTTGGAATATACAGACAACTATGTGGATATAGAAATAGAATCCACTCTGAACTAGACTTCTTAAAACTGGTCTGAAATGCAATTAGTTTCTAGAATTAGGGATGAGAGGGGAGCTGAGGAGTGAAGTAGGGTGTGGGAGGAAGATGTAGTAGAGGAGTTTCCTCTTTGAGCCTTTTACTCTCTTTTGATAACTATCCCAACCTGATACAACCAAGTGGTTTGGAGAAAGGCTCAGCAGCTTTATTATTCCTTACTCCAAGTCCCCAGGTTTGTGGGTTTACATTGTTCTCATCCTCATGTACTTCCTGCTGTTGGACAATACAAATGGAAACTCCTTCTCTCTTTTTCAGGTGAAACCAGTGGGAACGAAAGTGATGCCGAGTATCTGCCAAAGAGTGAGTGAGTCAATGGAGCTGCTCCTGTTCTTGTGATGATCATGGGTTAGGTGGAGTGGCACCTACCTTTGTGATTAAGCATGTTTTTCCCCACATGAAGTTCCATTTTGTAGGTGATTTCCTTATTTTCAGAACCTGTTGAGGTTTGGAGAATTAAACAGTCAGAATTAAACACTGTCAGATGTTTGACAGCATTTAAAGTCTCCCGTGGTGGAGTGAGGCTGAACAGTGTGGTTCTTATGATGGAGTATTCTTAGGGGAGCGGCAGAGAGCTGCATGTCCAGACATATATGCAGTAGTTTCCTGGCAGCCAAAACAGAGTGTGTGAATCATCCTCTGAGCAGTAAACATCTGATTTTTTTTTGAAACGGAGTCTCCCTCTGTCGCCCAGGCTGAAGTACAGTGGTATGAGCTCGGCTCACTGCAATCTGCTTCCTGGGTTCAGGCGATTCTCCTGCCTCAGCCTCCTGAGTAGCTGGGACTACAGGCACGCGCCACCACACCAAGCCAATTTTTGTATTTTTAGTAGAGATGGGGTTTCACCATGTTGGTCAGGCTGGTCTTGAACTCCTGACCTCATGATCCTCCCATGTCAGCCTCCCAAAGTGCTGGGATTACAGGCATGAACCACCACGCCCGGCCAAATATCTAATTTTTTTATAGCCATTCAAGTGTAATTATTTAAGTAACTTTGATACCTCTGACATTGAAAAAGGAAACATCTATTTGTTATTTATAGGCATTTATATTCCAGATTATTGTGCTGTTTACTTTCTAGTAGAATATAGAATGCATCATGCTTTTTTGACTCTATTTGTCCAAGCACTTCATGGTGCCTTCATCCTTCATCTAATGATGATGTTATCTAGTTATCACAGCAAGTTATCTACTTTCTATTTAAGCGACTGACATACTAAGCCGTGTAAAAAGTAGAAGACGTACATTATCAAAGCTGAGTACAGGGCAGTTCCACTTCCAATCTGACACCCTAATTTTATGATTAATAGTCTTGTGCTTCCTCCACTGGCCTGAATTGCTTCAGGTGTTTGATTCTGTACCCTGACTGAAGGTGAAATTTAATAATCATCAGGTTCAGTCTAGATGTGTAAAGATGACTAATTTAGGGCTGTTACTACTGAGAAACAGGACCTAAAATTTTCTTGACTTGAACTCAGCCCTTTGACATAAGTAATGTTTTGCCTAGAGCACTGAATGTACTGGATAATTCTGGGGAGCCATTCCCGGATGCAGTTTTTAAAATGTTCTTAATATTTTGATCTATAGTATAATTTCTTTTGGGACAGAATGCATTATATCAAAAAGAAAGGAAAGACAATTAGAGGTTGAGTCTATCAGTGGCTCAGAATGACACATAAGCAAATCACTGGGACATGTAGACTATTCTGCAAGTCCACAGTTTCCTTCAGTGGGGACCACCCTAGATTGCTCAAAATTTAGAGATAAATGAGAATAGAGGATAGGTGCTATCCAGTTTTGATTGATATTGCTATGACTGTTTAAATAGTATGCTTCCATAATTTTATTATTTTGAGAAAGTCTGCTGATGGATATCTTCTTCCACTTAATATTTTTCTCTTGCGTCTAGCACCATTTACTGATACAAGCATATATTCATTGTTAGTAATATATGGCAAGGAGGGAAGGGAACTGGACAGTTTCTTCAATGTGAGGATAATTTTTGTGTTAATTTATCAAACTCACCCCTTTCTGTACTTAGGACTCAATTATTTTATCAAATCTCTGCCCCCTGCCCCCTGCCCCCTGCCACCTGGCACCCTGTGATTTCATGGCATTCCCAGCAGTAGCATCTGTTGTCAGTCTAGCACTTTTTTTTTTGTGACATTTTCCATGTGTGCTGGTGTGATGCCATGAAAGATGGGATAGCATAGATTATTTGTTGGGACATACATAAGTATTGGTTGGTACATGGAATGTCAGTCCCATTGCTGGCCAGAAGTGAAATGAGGCCCCTGTGCACTTGTGAGGGTCTGCACCTATTCCCCCTAGTATGTCACAGCCCTAACAGATATGTCTATGCGTCAGATACTGGTTATTCAACATTCATTCCGCAGTGACTGTGTGAAGATTAATCCTGTGTGGGTCATGACCTCTGGTGCTGGAAGGAAGGTAGGGCTACAGAGAGAAAACATTGCTCCATGATTTCATTACAGATCGCCATAAACGCTTAGCACAACTGCAACAGTCTTCCAAGAGGAATCCTCACTACCAGACCTTGGAGCGGGATCTTATTGAATTACAGGAGCAGCAGCTGTTTGAACTTTTTGTGGTGGTGTCTCTACAGAAGAAACCATCAGGAATAAACTGTATTCCCCAGGTCATACAACAATTCCCCGGCAAGGTAGGTACAAGGAGGCCAAGAGGCATTCAGGAATGTTCCTGTGTCTCTGTGTACATTTATTTCCTGTCCCCTTGGTTTTTGTTATCTCAGCCAGTTTTTACCAGTACTTGTGGTAGGATCTGGTGGCTTTGAAAACATCTTATGTTAGGCAGGAGCTGCAACCCAGCAAAACAAAGCAAAACAAAACAACTCATTTTCCTAGTTTTTTAAATTTTTGGCTCTGCCATTTAATAATCTTTAATAAGTTACAAAACCTTAGTTTTCTCATCCTTAAGGAGGGGAATAATAAATGTGACAGAATAGGGTAGTGGTTTAGAGCACGTACTCTGTGCAAAAGCTCTGCATTTCCCACTTATTAGTTCTGTGACTTTAAGAAGTTACTTTTCTTTCTCTCTCTTTTTTTTTTTTTTTTGAGACAGAGTCTCGCTTTGTTGCCCAGGCTGGAGTGCAGTGGTGCATTTTCGGCTCACTGCAGCCCTGCAACCTCCACCTCCCAGGTTCAAGCCTCCTGAGTAGCTGGGACTACAGGCATGTGCCACCACGTGCAGCTAATTTTTATATTTTTAGTAGAGACAGGATTTCACCATGTTGGCCAGAGTGATCTCGAACTCCTGACCTCAAGTGATTCGCCCGCATTGGCCTCCCAAAGTGCTGGGATTACAGGCGTGAGCCACCATATTGTGTCTTCGTTGTTTAATTTGTAGAATGGGGGTAATCACAATAGTATCTACCCCTCTGAGTCATAGTGAGGATTAAATAATTTATATAAGGCACTTAGAACAGTGTCTGGCATATAGTAAGCTCAATATGATGTTATCCATTATTAGTAAGGATTTAGTGAGATAATGTATATAAAGTGCTTAATGCCATCCCTGGCACATAGTAGGTACTTGATAAATGGTAGGTATTAATTTTTGGTAGCCATTATTATTAACAATAATATTTGATTTCTCTACCTTTTTAAAAATAAAATCATTCATTCATTCAAATATTTTAAAAATACCTAATATTTGCCAGGATTAGATGATGGGAGTACTACTGAAAAAGATCTTAGTCTCTGGTTCACAGAGCTTATTGAGCCTGTGAACCAGTTAAGCCCACAGACATGGTTGGGTTTCTTTTGCTTTGGATAGTGTTTGTGTAAAAGTAACAACAATAATTTTTGTTGCCAACATTTAACAATCAAATTTCACATACAAATCTGTATTTCTGCCTTTTCCTGAAAAACTGGAAAGAATGCCAACACAGCCTGCATTCCTAAGTGTCAGGAATGGGTTGAAGCTTAATAAGGAGCAGGACTTCAGAGCAGGTGACCAGTGTAGTTACATAAGGCCGTCGTCACTCAGAAGGGCCCTGCGTGTAGGGTTTAATGATCTGCAGTCACCATCTTGAAATGCTAAATAATTTTAGCTTTGAATTTGTGTTTGTAAATGAAGTCTGATAGGAAAATTGGGCATGTGCCAAGGTCTTAAAGCCTGAGTTCATGCATGGTGTCACCTTCTGCTGCTTCCCTAGGATGAGTTCTCTTGTCCTGTTCTCCACTGCCCGATTCCCTGGGTCCTTTCTACCTCTACTCAGTGACTACTGCCACCTTCTCCCCCCGGCTGGGCACAGGCATTGGGAGGTTAGGATCAGGCCAGCATTGCTCTGCAGCATCTCCAGGCAAGGCATGGGGAAGCTTTCCCAGGCCTGGGCTGGTCGTGGGTGACTTTTTGGGGGTTGCTCAACTGCTGTGGGTTGGAATGGTGGCCCCCATGGGAAGGGGAGATGCCTGGCTTAACTTCCCAACCCCCAGTCGAAACACAGAGTCTCAATTCTGCAGCTACCCGGAGAGGAAACCCAGTACCTCATGGGCCACTTGTGTACCAAATTGCAGACTGCAGCACCTGGGTGTCTGTGAGAGTCTACACTCATCCCCCAGGATCCTCATGCCTAAGGGAGTGTGACGTTAAATAGCAAATAAAAACTCCATTAGAGAGGCCACAGAAGAAAAGATGTTTTGTGTTTAATTTTTTCTGCTTTTTGGACAAGAAGCTCCACATTTTCATTTTGCATTATGCTGTCTGAATTATGTAGTTTTCCTTAGTAAGGAGTGATCCCTTTAATAGGGACATTTACTCACTCTCCTGCTTATTACTTGGACCACTTCTCTCATTTCAGTTACCTGCTTGGCCACTTTAGGACTTTTGGGTTTATAACCCTGAGTTACATGTTTCACTAAAAAAGCTGATGAAGTACAACTGTACTGGAATCTAAGAGGCGTTTCCTGCATGGATTCTCATTTTCAAAAAGTCCTCAAAAATATCCCTACAGTAAATAATCAGTAAGTTTAATTTCTCATAAAATTTCTCAGTGTAGCCTGAAAGTACAATGTCACAGCACTGTTAAGTGACCCAGAATGGCTACATAGTTTGGATTTTTAAGAAATTAAAGGGGCCGTGCACAGTGGCACCTGCTTATAATCCCAGCTAGTTGACCAGCTGAAACAGGAGGATCACTGGAGCACAGGAGTTTGAGGCCAGCCTGGGCAACATAGCAAGACCTCCTCCTCAACAACAACAAAAAAGAAATTAAAGGGGAGGTCATTTTTACTAGTTATCTGAAGGCAATATGGTAATTAGACTTCAGGGCTTGTTTTTATAGAGGACAGGTCATACTAATTTCTAAATGTCTGGTTTACTGAAATTTAGACTGTCACATAGGTACAGTACCAGATTTATGCAAAAGGATCTTCTATGCTAAAATTTTACAAGAAGTTGCAAACCAGCAATTAGGTAGCAAAGATTCTATGCTAAAGGAAATGATTATATATGGGGTGGATTCTCAAAATAGTGTCTCTTATTTTTTCTTTCTTTTTTTTTTTTTTTTGAGATGGAGTCTCGCTCTGTCACCCAGGCTGGAGTGCAGTGGCCAGATATCAGCCCCCTGCAAGCTCCGCCTCCCGGGTTTACGCCATTCTCCTGCCTCAGCCTCCCAAGTAGCTGGGACTATAGGCGCCCACCACCACGCCCGGCTAGTTTTTTGTATTTTTTTAGTAGAGACGGGGTTTCACCGTGTTAGCCAGGATGGTCTCGATCTCCTGACCTTGTGATCCACCTGTCTCGGTCTCCCAAAGTGCTGGGATTACAGGCTTGAGCCACCGCACCCGGCCTATTTTTTCTTTTTTCGAGACAGGTTTCTCTCTGTCACTCAAGCTGGAGTGCAATGGCGCAATCACAGCTCACTGCAGCCTCATCCTCCTAGGCTCAAGAGATCCTCCCACTTCTCAGCCTCCTGAGTAGCTGGGACTACAGGCATGTGCCACCACACCCAGCTAACTTTTGTATTTTTTGTAGAGATGGGGTTTCACCATGTTGCCCAGGCTGGTCTCCAACTCCTGAGCTCAAGTGATACGCCCACCTTGGGCTCCCAAGGTGCTGAGATTACAGGCATGAGCCGTTGCATCTGGCCGTATCTTTTCTAAATAATATTCATCTACCATTTCAAAGCTTCTTTGATCATTGATTGGACAGTGTGTTGAGCTGACTAGGTTTTTGTTCTCAGTACATTGAAGAATGAATTTTTATCTTATGTCCCACGGTTCATAAAAATACTGGGTTCCCATTAGTTTGTGAATCCTGAATTAAGATATTTCCTCTTGATAGGAAACTTTTCACTAATCTCTCTTACAGTAGATGCTGAGATATCCACAGGTACCATTTCTCAGTAAAAATGGGATTCTTTGTTCTCAGTTCATCTTCAGTGATTTCCAGAATTGACTTTTTAATTTTGTTAAGCAGTACAAAACCATGCTGAGGCTTATCACTAACTGCCCAGGCTTATCAGCGACCTTTTTTCCTGAGATGAGACTGAGTTTTTTATTTCTATTCCCCACTTACATAGTATAATTCAAGTCATCTATTTTGAGGGTGTTTGAGGGTGTTATCTTTTTCAGGACGATCATGGCTATAAGCAGTCCAAAGACACGGAAGAGAGGCTTAAAGTTATCCCAAAATTTTGTTTTCCTGATTCAAAGGACTGGATGCCAACCTCAGAACTCAAGAGGTAAATGGGCGAATTTATCTAATTTATATTCATTAGAACTGCAAAAATAAATCAGAGTATTTGAGAAATGAGTAGAGCCATTAGTGAAGCTATGTGAATACTGTGGCAAGTCAAGGATGTGGTGGGAGGAAAGGAAGAAGCAGTATTAGAACATTTCCTATGTGGGGCTTAAAAAAAGAAAAACATGGAATAATTTCAGTGTCAAAAGGAAAACAAATTTGAGAGTCACTTCGAGGTTGCCAGTTCAACAGCAACAACAACAAAAAGTTCTATTTTACGTGCAATCAAAAATGCTCCCAAGTGTACAGAAAGGAAAAAAGACTTGGATTTTGAGACTCAACCTAGAAACAGAGATAAAACAGAGCAAGGTCTTCATCTTCATTTTCTTTCTCCTTCAAATTAACAGAAGAATCCACAGCCCAGCTTTTATGTTCCCCTGTGGAACCTGTACAAAAGGAGGCTCCAGTTTGGGAAGTGTAGTATATTAGGAAAGGAAGTATTAAAGAATTTCTTCCAGGTATCTAGAGGAAATTGCTATTTTTAATTAATGAACTGTCATAATCTCTGAATTCTGCTTGTAAATATTAATAGATGCCTGCTTTGTTCAAAACTGTAATTATTGATGATGCCATTTAGTTTGAAAAGCTTGATTTGTTGAACCATATCACATGGTAATGACCTTCTGGATAATAGCCTCAGCTGTTGCTTAAATAGCTCTGCACTTCAGCTTCGCATTGCCTCCAGACTAAGCTACTGTCTCTCATAAGCAGTTTAGCCTGATTGACACTGTCATCTCTCAGCCATCACTGTTGATGCTCTTGTGTTGTCAGTTGCACTGCTACCTTTATAAACAGCGCCTTTCATATTGACCTGGCTGCTCTGTGGCTGGTTTTCCCCCACAACGAGTTATATATGTTTATTCTAGAGTATTTGGGAAATACAGAAGAGTAAATAAAAAGCAGAAATTGCAGATCACTGGCAATCTGGTTACCCAAAGGTAATCACTGTAAATATTTTGTCATATTCCCTTCCAATCTTTATTTTTAGCCAAATACAGATATGTATATATTGTTCAAGTTTGGATTTAGGCCAGGTGCAGTGGTTCACACCTGTAATCCTAGCACTTTGGGAGGCTAAGGTGGGAGGGTCACTTGAGGCCAGGTTTGAGACCATCCTGGGCAGCATAGTAAGTCCCTGTCTCTACAGAAAATACCAAAAAGCTAGACAGACATGGTGGTGTGCAGTTGTTACTCCGGAGGCTGAGGCAGGAGGACCACTTGAGCCCAGGAGTTCAAGGTTGCAATGAGTTATGATTATGCCATAGTACTCCAGCCTGGGCAACAGAGCAAGACCCTGTCCAAAAAAAAAAAAAAAAAGGAATGGAGGGAGGGAGGGAGGGAGGAAGGAAGGAAGGAAGGAAGATAATAAATATGTCTTCAGAAAATTAAGTTCTATTCAGTGAGACCCAGTCTCTTAAAAAAAAAATTGGACTTTGCCGGGTGCTGTGGCTCACGCCTGTAATCCTAGCATTTTGGGAGGCCGAGGCGGGAGGATCACCTGAGGTCAGGAGTTCAAGACCAGCCTGGCCAACATGGTGAAACCCCATCTCTACTAAAAATAAAAAATTAGCTGAGTGTGGTGGCACATGCCTGTAGTCCCAGCTACTCAGGAGGCTGAAGTGGGAGAATCGCTTGAACCCGGGAGGTGGAGGTTGTAGTGAGTGGAGATGGCGCCACTGTACTTCAGCCTGAGTGACAGAGTGATACTCTGTCTCAGAAAAAAAAAAGCGGGGGACTTATTTGATTATCGAGTCTGAGTTTCTTTCTTGGGCATATTTAGGTTTTCATTTGTAAATTATTAACGCATATCTTTTGCCCATGTTTCTAATGAGGAGTTGATATTTTCCTAATAATTTTTATATATTAAGGATATAATCCTTTGCCTATCACTGCTCTATACAGCCTCTCAGAACTAAAGAGAAGAATTTGGAACTGGGAAATGACATATCAAAAGTCTTTGTAGCTTACCTGTTTGACTAAATTGGGGATTCAACAAAAGGAAAATAAGACCAGGCACAGTGGCTCATGTCTATAATCCTAGCACTTTGAGAGGCCGAGGCAGAAGGATTATTTGAACCCAGGTGTTTGAGACCAGCCCTGGCAAGATCATGAGACCTTATCTCTACACAAAATTAAAAGATTAGCAGGGCATGGTGGCACACATATGCAGTTCCAGCTACTTGGGAGGCTGAGGTGGGAGGATCACTTGAGCCTCAGGAGGTCAAGGCTACAGTGAGCTCTGTTTGCACCACTGCATTCCAGCCTGGGCAACAGAGTGAGACTGTCTTAAAAAATAAAAGTAAAATTTAGGCCGGGCATGTTGGCTCACGCCTGTAATCCCAGCACTTTGGGAGGCCGAGGCGGGCGGATCACAAGGTCAGGAGATTGAGACCATGGTGAAACCCTGTCTCTACTAAAAATACAAAAAATTAGCCGGGCGTGGTGGCGGGTGCCTGTAGTCCCAGCTACTTGGGAGGCTGAGGCAGGAGAATGGCATGAACCCGGGAGGCGGAGCTTGCAGTGAGCCGAGATCGCGCCACTGCACTCCAGCCAGTGGGACAGAGTGAGACTCCGTCTCAAAAAAACAAAAAACAAAAAACAAAAAATAAATAAATAAATAAAATTTAAATGAAAATAAGCCTGATTAATACCTAGAGTGGATGAATAAGAAAACAAAAGGAACCAGCATCAACAGCTTATCCCATACCTATTCTCTCACTCCAGTACAAGGCAAGATATTCTTAAGGCCTGGGCATTCATTCCTTAGGAGGAATGTGACTTGCAATGAATGTAATATTATGCCTCCTCTTAGATCACAAAATGACTACTGTTGGACTCTAGTTTTCAATTGTTTGTTCCATGGAGAATGCCGTAAGTGGTTGTTTGGATCCTAAACTAACTATTGGCTCTTTTTTCAGTGAAACATTCTCCTTTGTCTTGACTGGTGAAGATGGAAGCCGGTGGTTTGGTTACTGTAAGAAGCTCTTGGTAAGTATCAGATCTGTGTTACTTACCAGGACAGGGTTGGTCAAGGAACAACTGAGTCAGAGTAGGAACTTCAGAAGCCCTATCTCTAGATGAGTTTGAGGGATGCTCAATGACCTGTGTATTAAGGAAGCTGTATTAGCGTTAAACAGCAAGAGCAAGGTGGGGGTTAACCATGGAGTGTTCTAGAAAAGAAGGGGTATGGATTTATTTTATTTGTTTATAATAGAGAAAGTAACTGATGACATAGTGGCTGAATCTCATCTGGATATATTTGGAATAGAGTACAATGAGCTACTCGAAGGAGCTCTGAGTTACTCATCAACCATATTAGGGCTTTTTTCTTGCTTAGGTGGCTTCACTAAACCTAGAATAAATCATGCTATCATTTTTAGCACTTTTCACATCTTTTACTGTTCACTGAAGATGAGAGCCTTGGTTACTGCTCTGTACTAAAGAGTAGTAAAAGATAATTAATAGTCCAAATCAATATTAATAAAAACTTAACGCTGCTTGATTTTTTTGTTGTTGTGTTTATCTTTTAGCCAGGAGGCAAAGGAAAGCGACTCCCTGAGGTATACTGCATGGTTAGTCGCCTAGGCTGCTTCAATCTTTTTTCAAAGGTGAGTGGAGAATGAGCTGTATGAAAAATGGTGTCCTTTTTGATCTCGCAATGTTAAGTGGCATAGACTTTAACATACTACTTCAGAAAGGTTCCCTATTAGTAAAGTAGGAACCACATGCCTGAAGGCTTAAACTTACATCTCTAATCCATTTGCTGTTGCTATATCATCTTCATTTTGGTTTGCTAGAACTTTCAGCTTAAGGGAGAACATAGTCCAAAGCTTATCTTGTCTTGTGTCTTTCTTAGACCAAATTGCAGGATATCATTGCCACTGTCACCTTCCTTGCCCCTCCCTTAGTGAGCCAAAAAGGGGCTTCTCCTTTAAAAATATGTTGATTTATGTTAGTAACTTTTCTTCAGGGTATAATGATATCTCCCAAGAGATATGATGCTTATTTAACTTTTATTGATTGCAGAAGCTTATCTGTCTTAAATTATATTTGGGTTATTTTAAAGTTTGTACACCAGGCTGGGCAGTTCCTGTAATAGCATTCTTTTATGTTTTTTAACTTAGTCCATAACAAAATAACGCTTTACATGTATAGATTCTGGATGAAGTAGAGAAGAGAAGAGAAATGTCTCCAGCCCTTGTTTACCCATTCATGCGAAGTGTCATAGAAGCTCCTTTCCCAGCTCCTGGACGCACCATCACAGTTAAGAGTTACCTCCCTGGGGCTGGAGATGAGGTAAGTTAGCTCATTTTGAAAAGATTTGATAGCCACTAAAAAGCAGGACTTATACTAGTAGGCAGTTTCCAGAGCCCAAGGGGATAGATTTCCCTTTTTTATAAACTGTAAAGGATATGTTTTATTTCCATAAAGCAATGGAGAAATATCCAGCTGATCTGTAACATAGTTCTTCCTAGACCCAGGACCTAGAGATTTTCTACCATACATAGACTGACTCCCTTTGTAATGACAATTTCAATGTGATAAATGAAGACTGTATGTACTGTTGTCAGAAGGAATAAAGGATCTTGATTTACAGAACAAAAATAAGCTGTTGGGTCCTGGCATTAGTATAGGAAGCTTCACAGACCTCGTGTAGCAGACCCTTCTTGAATTTAACTTATGTAAGAATAACAGGATCCATAGCGTTGGCACTAGGGATTGTTTTCCAACATTAGCTCACATGATTCAAATTCTTGCATTTCAGTCCATTGAACTCTGCCGACCACTAGATTCCCGATTGGAACATGTTGATTTTGAATGTCTCTTTAAGTGCCTGAGTGTGTGTCATCTCATCCGCGTCTGTGCCTCTCTCCTTTTGGAGCGTAGGGTAATCTTTGTTGCCAACAGCCTAAGGTAAGAAATAAGTGAAATATGTTACTTCACACTGGTGTTTTATTTGCTCCAAATTTTAAAATTGGAGCTTTTTTTATTATTATAGTTTAAGTTCTAGGGTACATGTGCACAACGGGCAGGTTTGTTACATATGTATGCATGTTGGTGTGCTGCACCCATTAATTCGTCATTTACATTAGGTATTTCTCCTAATGCTATCCCTCCCTCCCTCCCCCCACCCCACAACAGGTCCTGGTGTGTGATGTTCCCCACCCTGTGTCCAAGTGTTCTCATTGTTCAATTCCCACCTATGAGTGAGAACAAAAATTTGGGCATATTATTAAAATGTAGGATCAGTCTCTCAATTAGCTAGTGGTGTATAGTGGCATGGATAATTTCAAATGGTAAATCATCAAAAAGCCACTTGCATTAGGGTATACAAATGACTTTTTTGGGTTATAATAAATTTCCCTTTTAAATGCATTTTGCTTACCCTATTGTCAAAAGTCGGTAATACTTTTTTAAGTACACTAATTTTTCGCATGAGAAATTGTGGAGATGAGCTGGATTGAGATTGAACATTTTCAGTAAATTAAGTTTAAATTTTAACTAAAATGTTAAAAAATTAATGACTGTTCACATAGTTTTTAATCTGTGATCACTAACCAGCATCAATTTTTAATTCTTTAACATAATAACTGAAATGTCCTGCTTATGTTGCTCTATATATGACACCATTTGTTTTCTCCTCTGGCTAGCACCCTGTCAAAATGTGGCCATGCTGTGGTAGCTACACTGTATCCGTTCACCTGGCAGCATACCTACATCCCAGTCCTGCCAGCATCTATGATTGACATCGTCTGCTCACCTACTCCATTCCTTATTGGAATCCTGTCTTGCTCCTTACCACAGCTCCAGGACCTACCCATTGAAGAGGTGAGATGGAAGAATAGAACCTAATATTGGAGCACTGAGAAGTAAAAAATAAGTAATCTTAAGAGTGATGGAATTGTTATTAATATGTTATTATTACTACTTTATGCTATTTATAATATTTCTATTATATTATAATATTGTTGTTTATAATATTTCTAGTATTAAGATGGGAAAATTTGATAGTACACATAAATCCAAACCTGTATCTTATTTACAGTAGTAACCTTGGGCTCATTCTTGTGTTATTCTGAAGGGTACAGTACTCTGGATTAACTTTAAAAATTATTTCACGGCCTGGCATGGTGGCTCATGCCTGTAATCCCAGCACTTTGGGAGGCTGAGGCAGGTGGATCACTTGAAGTCAAGGAGTTTGAAACCAGCCTGGCCAACATGGTAAAACTCCATCCCTACTAAAAAGGCAAAGATTAGCCAGGTGTGGTGGCACATGCCTATAATCCCAGCAACTTGAGAGGCTGAGGCAGAATTGCCTGAACCCAGGAGACAGAGGTTGCAGTGAGCTGAGATCATGCCACTGTGCTCCAGCCTGGGTGACAGAGGGAGACACTGTCTCAAAACAAAAACCCAAAAAACTTTATTTCAAATAAAACACAATATAGATACGTGGTTAAAGCAAAATGTACAGATACATAACCAGCATTAGAATGGAATGGAAATATTACCACAATGGAATCAGTGCCAACCCCCTAGAAGTCCCCATCATGCCTCTTTCTAATCTCTGTTTCCATCCCCATTCCCATCCCCCACCAAAGGTAATCATTATCTTGACTTTTATGGTATTCATTGACTTGTTTTTCTTTATAGTTTTACCCCTAGGCATTCCTCCCTAAGCAATGTAATTCAGCTTTGTCTGGTTTTAAACTTGATATAAATAGATTCATATGGTATATATATTTTTGCCTGGCTTCCTCTGCTCAATATTATATCTGTAAGATTGATCTATGTTGATGAGGTCAACAATAGTTTGATCATTCTAATTGTATATAGGATTCCATTGTGTGAATGTACCACAATTTTCTTATCCATTCTACAATTGAACATTTGAGTTGTTTCCAGTTTGAGGTTGTTATGAATAATGTTGCTATAAATATACATCACTCCCAGTGCATACACACATAATTCAATGGGTATATACTTGGAAATTGAATTGCTGAGTCATAGGGTAAACATATCTCCAACTTTAATAAAGTTAAATTGTTTTCCAAAGTAGTTGTGCCAATTTAAATTCCCTTCAACAGCGTATGAGAATTCCTGTTGCTCCACGTCTTCACCATTACTTACTGTCATCAGTTGTATAATTTAGCCTATCTGGTGGGTGCATAGTGTTATTCACATTGTGGTTTAATTTGCACAAATTTAATTTAATTTGATTCCTGTTGAGGTTGAGCATCCTTCTATTTATTGGTCTCTTGAATATCATCTTTTATAAAAATCTTTGTCTCTTTCCATTACATTGTTTACTCTCTTGTTTTGTTTTTGGTTTTGTTTTTGTTTGGTTTTGTTTTTGAGATGGAGTCTTACTCTGTTGCCCAGGCTGGAGTGCAGTGGCGTGATCTCAGCTCGCTGCAACTTCTGCCTCCCAGGTTCAAGCAATTATCGTGTCTCAGCCTCCCAAGTAGCTGGGACTATAGGTGCACGCCACCAAGCCCAGCTAATTTTTTGTATTTTTAGTAGAGACAGGGTTTCACCATGTTGGCCAGGCTGGTCTCAAACTTCTGTCCTCAAGTGATCTGCCCTCTTCGGCCTCCCAAAGTGCTGGGATTACAGGTGTGAGCCACCACACCCAGCCCCTACTCTCTTATTGTTTAAGATGTTTTCTTTTTCTTCTCTTCTCTTCTCTTCTCTTCTCTTCTCTTCTCTTCTCTTCTCTTCTCTTCTCTTCTCTTTTCTTTTCTTTTCTTTTTGAGATGAAGTCTCGCTCTTGTCTCCCAGGCTGGAGTGCAATGGCACGATCTTGGCTCACTGCAACCTCTGCCTCCTGGATTCAAGCGATTCTCCTGCCTCAGCCTCCTGAGTAGCTGGGATTACAGGCCCCTGCCACCACGCCTGGCTAATTTTTGTATTTTTAGTAGAGACAGGGTTTCAGCATGTTGGCCAGGCTGCTCTTGAACTCCACCTCAGGTGATCCGCCCACCTCGGCCTCCCAAAGTGCTGGGATTACAGGCGTGAGCCACCGCGCCTGGCGTTAAGATGTCTTTTTATGCTCTGGATACTGGCCCCTTTGTCTGTGGCTTGCCTTTTCATTTTCAAAAATGATGTTTTTTAATGCACAGAAATTCTTAATTTTAATGTGGTTAAAATTATCAATCTTTTTCTTTATACATGATGTTTTTAGTGAGCTGCTTAAGTTACTTTATATTAACCTCATGAAAATATCCTTCTATATTGTCTCTTGGGCCTTTCATTATTTTGCCTTTAACTTTTGATTATGAATCCTCCTGGAACTTGATTTTTGTGTGTATAATGTGAAGTAGGGGTTGTTTCATTTGTTTTTATATGGTACTGTCTGTGCCGATACTACTTACTGAAAAGACTGTTCCCTGTTACTCCACTGCCTTGTCCTTCTTAAAAAAAAAAAAAATTATTTTGGAAACTTTAAACATATGTAAAAGTAAACAGAAGAGTGAAATGAATCCTTGTGTACCAGTCACCTCACTTCAGTACTTATCAAATAATGGCCAGTCTTTACCCTTACCCGTTCCTCTTTCCCATAATATTTTGAAGGATATCCTGACACAATTTCATCTCTAAATATTACAATGTGAATCTCTCTAACATAAGGGCATATTTAAACATAACCTCAATACCATTATCACACCTAAAATATCCAACAATTCCTTGATATCAGCAAAATCCAGTGTTTAAATCTCCAGTTGTCTCACAAACTTTTAATAATTTGTTTAAATCAGGTTCAAAACGAAGTCCACATATTGTACTTATTTATTCGTTTATTTATTTATTTAGAGACAGGGTCTCATTCTGTCACCCAGGCTGGAGTGCGTTGGCGCAATCACAATCAATGCAGCCTTGACCTCCCAGACTCAAGTGATCCTCTCAGATCAGCCTCCCAAGTAGCTGGGACTACAAGTGTGTACCACACGCCCAGCTAATTTTTAAATTTTGTGTATAGACAGGGTCTCACTGTGTTGCCAGGGCTGGTCTCCAACTCCTGGGCTGAAGAGTTCCTCCTGCCTCGACTTTCCAAAGTTCTGGGATTACACGTGTGAGCCATTGTGCCTGGCCCCACACATCGTATTTAGTTGATATGTTTTTAGTCTCTTTTAATCTATTGGTATGCATGTCATCATTCTTCTATTTGCAATTTATTTTTTGTTGTGTTGATTGGCTAACTTTTAAATGGGCTAAAACTTTGAGTAAATTTTGTTTAAAACTATTCTCATTGCCTGTGAATGTCTCTGGTTGAACTTGCCTGGCTCCTTTATTTCATAGGTGCTGATAGTTGATCTCTGTGCAGACAAGTTCTTACAGGAGGTGAGTGCCAAAGGAGGTAATTACTAATGTTTTAGGATAAATGTCTACTGTAGATAATTGGACAGACAATATGTGAAAGTACTTAGAGAATATGACTCAGGCAAAACTTTAGTTCCTACACATACTTGAGTTGACACCATGGCCAATCAAGCAAGATCGACCTGAAAAATTTGGCTTCAGTTTATAGCTGCCTATCCCAAAGGAAGGAGGAAACATAAATGTGTCATTCTCAAAAGAGGTAAAACCACCCTTCAACTCCAGGTGGGTCAACACATAAGCCTCTAATTTAATTACATTTTAAAAGCATTTATTAAGCACTGATTGTTTCTAGATACTCTGTTAGAATGTAAAAATGAGTAAGACACAGTTTGAACCCTTAGGTCTTACAGACTAATGCGGAGAAACAGACATACATAAAGTTTTAGAAATTGTATAATAGAAATTTGTACAAGGTACAGTAGGAGCAAGAATGAAGTGACCATTTATTCTTAATACTGAAGTGGAAAGGAAGAGTTCAAAAGCCTTCTTAGATCAGCCCTCCAGATATAACCTGTGTGTCGAAGTGTGAGCTCTGAAACACAGGGTGAAAAGAAGAGTGTTTCCCAGGACATTTTCAGAATGGATTAGCTCATCACGTTTGAAATACAATTTATTTGTGGATGATCTTCATAATATAATAGAAGACTTGTAGATGAGAGAGATCTGGTGGAAAAGTGCCAGAAAATTTTATAAAGTATATTGTTTATTTGTTTAATATAGTTAAAATATATACACCATAAACATGAAAGATTCTTCATGTAGGGAAGGAGACTTCAGACTGACTCTTTAGCCAAAATATATAAAGTCACTTGTGGAATTTTGGAGAAATAACTAGGGCATATTTGAGACTTAATCCCTCAAATCTCCTACAAAGAAAAATCTCCATTTTTTTTTTCTTAAGGTATCTGATGAGGATGAAATTCTACCACCAAAACTTCAAGCTGCCCTGATGCAGATTTTGGAAGAACGAAATGAAATCTTGACTCAGGAGCAGAATTTTTCACAAGGTATGAGACAAGTGAGCCAAGGACTTAAGGATTAAGGTAGTAAATATTTACTGAATGCCCAGCACTATGTTAAAGGATATACCAAAGTAGCATTAGATTGCCTGCGCCTTGAAAATCTTATAATCAGCTTCCTTGCTTATCCTCAATATGCCAGGTCCTCTTCTATTTCAGGACCTTTGCACTTGCTCAGTTACATTTATAGAATGCTATTCCCGCAGATATCCACATGACTCCTGCCCTTTCTTCCTGTAGGTCCATGCTCACGTCACCTTCTCACTGAGGCCTTTCCTGACTGTCCTATTTTAAATTGTACCCATTCCCCTAGTGCTCCTTATCCTCTTCCCCTTGCTTTAATTTTCTTCAAGGCTCTTAGCACTATTTCATATGCTACAGCATAAGTTCTGTGAGAACAGTGGCTTTATTTTGTTCTCTATCTCCAGTACTTTAAACAGTATTCAGTAAGTAGGTACTCAATAAATACTTGTTAAATAAATGGGCAAATAATATTTATTGGGTGCTTACACTGTATCAGGCATTATGCTAAGCACTTAACATACATTTTGTTTTATCTTTATGAAGCAGGTATCATTATTTAATCCTCATTTTACAGATGAGAAAACTAAGGCTATGTACTGACAAGGAATATTAGGGAAGGAGCAGGGCTTTTTTTGTTTGTTTTGGGTTTTTTCTTTTTTTGTTTTTTGTTTCTTGCTGTGTCACCCAGGCTGGAGTGCAGTGATGCAATTATAGCTCACCACAGCCTCAACCTCCTGGGCTCAAGCAAGTCTCCTGCCTCAACTGGGACTACAGGCATGCACCACCACACCTAGCTAATCTTTTTATTTTTTGTAGAGACAGGGTCTCACCATGTTGCCTAGGTTGATTTTAAACTCCTGGTCTCAAGCAATCCTCCCACCTTAGCCTCACAAAGCACTGGGATTACAGTTGTGAGCCACCACACCTGGCCTAGAAGGAGCAGATTTAGAGGAGTAATAAAAAGTTTAGTTTTGGATGTTACAGTTTGAGATACCTATTAGAAGTTTAATACTTAAGCAGACATCCAACTGGAAATGTTTTAGAAGAAAGATTTGGGCTAAAAGCAAACATTTAGAAATTGCTGTTATAAAGCTGTGGGACCAGATGAGATGATCGTATAGAGTGAGTATTGTTAGAAAATAACAAAGGTTTAAGGATTGAGCCCTCTGTTGGTTGTAAATGGCGTGGTTAGATTTCCAACACTTGGAGGTTGGAAGGAGGAGAACTATCCAGCAAGGGAGACTAAGAGGAGCAGCCAGTAAAGGAGAAAAACCAGGAAAGTATGTGTGTAAACTGCCAGGAGTGTGGGCAGGTACAGTGACTCACACCTGTAATCCCAGCACTTTGGGAGGCCAAGGCAGGAGATTGCTTCAACCTAGGAATTCCAAACTAGCTTGGGCAACATAATGAGACCTCATCTCTACAAAAAGTGAAAAGAAAAATAAAAAACAAACAGGAGTGTGACATTGCAGAAGTTGAGCAAATAGAATATTTCATGAAAAGAAGAGTAATCAGTTATGCCTACAGCTGCAAAGAGACCAAGTATGGTGGGACTAAGATTTGACCAGTGGATTTGACAGTATGAAGACCTTGATAACAGCAGATTCAGTGGAATGAGGGGAAGAAAGTGAGATGGGAGAGGGTTCAAGAGAGAATTAGAATTCCATTCAGCCGATTGATTGTAAAATTTATTATTTATTATTTTTATTTTTATTTTTGAGACAGGGTCTTGCTTTGTTACCCAGGTTGGAGTGCAGTGGTGCAATCATGGTTCACTGCAGCTTTGACCTCCTGAGCACAAGCAATCCTCCCACCTCAGCCCACCATGTAGCTGTGCCAACAGGCGTGCACCATCACACCTGGCTAGTTTTTTGTATTTTTTGTAGAGACAGGGTTTCACAATGTTGCCCAGGCTGATCTTGAACTCCTGAGCTCAAGCAATTCACCCACCTCGGCCTCCCAAAGCCGTGGGATTACGTGGGTGAGCCATTGCGCCCAACCATAAAATTTAATTGGATGTAAAAAGGGCCAGGAACAGCCAAGGCACTCAAAAAAGAACAAGGTTGGAAGGCTTGCACTACTAGACATCAAAATTTATTATAAAGATAGTAATTAAGATAGTTTGGTTTTGGTGCAGAAATAGAGCAACAGAAGGAATACAGAGTGCGTATGCATAAGGAAACTTGATTTGTGTCAGTGCCAGCGTTGTGTATCAGTGGAAAAAGGATGGATCATTTAATGATCCATGGGCTGGGCACGGTGGCTCCCAGTACTTTGGGAGGCGGAGGTGGGCAGATCACTTGAGGTCAGCAGTTTGAGACCAGCCTGGCCAACATGGTGAAACCCCGTCTCTACTAAAAATACAAAAATTAGCCAGGTGTGGTGGTGCACACCTTTAATCCCAGCTACTCAGTATGCTGAGGCAGGAGAATCACTTGAACCCGGGAGGTGGAGGTTGCAGTGAGCCAAGATTGTGCCACTGCACTCCTGCCTGGGTGAGAGAGTAAGACCCTGTCTAAAATAATAATAATAAATAGGACAATTGGTCTTCTATATGAAAAGAAATGAATGTGGTGTACACCTCATACTATACAGAAAATTAATTCCAGTGAATTTAAAGACTTAAATGTTAAAAGCAAAGCTTTTGAAAATATTTTTGAAAGAATAGAAGAAAATTATTTATGTCAATAACACAGTGGTGGGGTTCTTAAAAACATGGCACAAAGAGCAGAGACCATAAAGGAAAAGATAGGTTAATTTGACTGTGTTAAATCTTTAAATTTTCTTTTCATCAAGGGACACCATGGAAAAGAGATCTTAAAAACTAGTTACAGACTAGGTGAAGACATCTTCAACATATGTAGCTCAAATGAATAGTGTCTGGAATTAATTTTTTTAAAAAACACCTGCAAATCAGTAAGAAAAAGATAAACAATCCAATAGAAAAATGAGAAAAAGACAGGAACAAACATTCAAAAAAGAAGAAACATGATAAGCATATAAGTAATTGAAGAGACATGCAACCTCACTACATCATTTACACTCAGGGAAGTGCAAATGTAAGCCACAGTGCAATACCATTTTTTATACCCACCGTATTCACAAAAACTAAAAACTCTGTCCAGGCACTGTGATTCATACCTGTAATCCTAGCACTTTGGGAGGTCAAGGTGGGAGAATCACTTGAGCCCGGGAGTTCAAGACCAGCCTGTGTAACATAGCAAGACCCTGTTTCTACAAAAATAATTAAAACATTAGCCAGGAGTGTTGATGTGTGCCTGTAGTCCCAGCTACTCAGGAGGCTAGGGTGGAAGGATCACTTGAGCCCGGGAATTTGAGGCTGCAGTGAGCTGTGATGGTGCCACTTGCACTCTAGCCTGGGCAATAGAGCAAGACCCTGTCTCAAAAAAAAAAAATTTAAGTCTGACAATATCAAGTGTTGGTAAGAGTGTGTCAAGTAGTTCAACCACTTTGAAGTTGGCATTATCTAGTAATATTAAAGGTGTACATATCCTACAACCCAACAATGTAGTTTGTAGATACATACCCTAGTGAGTCTCTTGTACATGATCACTGGGAAACAAGTTCATTAGTTTTCATAGTGCCAGTATATGTGATAGCAAAAACTAAAAACAATGTGAATATCCATTTTCAGGAGAATAAAGCTTTAATAATGAATTTTTTTTGAGATAAGGTTTTATTTTGTTAACCAGGCTGGAGTGCAAGTGGTGTGATCATGGCCCACTGCAGCCTTGACCCCCTATGCTCAAGCAATCCTCTGTCCTCAGCCTCCTGAGTAACTGGGACCACAGGCCTGTGCCACCACACTCAGCTAATTCTTAAATTTTTTGTAGAGATGGAGTCTATGTTGCCCAGCCTGGTCCTAAGCTCCTGGGCTCAGGTGAGCTGCCTGCCTCAGTCTCCTAAGTGTTGGGATTACAGGCATGAGCCATTTTAGCTGCACCCAGTTAAAAATGATTCTTAAAAACATATATTGAATAAAACAGTAAGTTGAAGAAGACTACAATATTTTGTATACCGTTCAAAGACATACAAAACCTAATAATATGCTATTGGGGTTTTATATGTGTATAGTGAAACTATAATGCAGAGCAAGGGAATACTAAATCCAAAATTCCATGGTCACTCTATTGGAAAGTAGGAGAAGAATGCCATTAGAGAGAGTCACACAGGAAACTTCAAAGATATTAGTAATGTTCTGTTTGTAAGCTTTGTTTGTGGTAGAGAATTTATTCATTTCATTGTTGATCTTATAAAATACTCATACATATCAAAGAATATGTAAAGTATATACATTAGAAAGGAAAGAATAAAGAAATTATAGAAAAACATAATTTTTAAAAGAAAGAAAATAAGACATAACAGTGAGGCAAAAGTGTTGAAGATAAATGCAGTGTTGGGGCTGGGTGTGGTGGCTCATACCTGTGATCTCAAGCACTTTGGGAGGTCAAAGCAGGATAAGTTCAATACCAGCCTGAGCAACATAGCAAGACCCCATCTCTACAAAAAAAAAAAAAAATTAATAAAAAAAAGAAAGATAAATGCAGTGATGGACACGGATTCTCAGCTGCAGAAGGAAAGAGATGAGAAGGAAGGGAGTTGGACAAAATATAGCAAAACCCTAGATTAGAGTCAAAGTGTAATTCAGAAAGAGACCTTGGAAATCACCTGGTCAGCCCTGCTGGCTGCCCAGATGTGGACAGGCCAGCTGAGAAAAGTGAGCCACCCACTATTATGCAACTGCTTTATGGTAGAACTCTGACTAAACTTAGGTCCCTGATTCCCATCCTGAGTGGATCCCTGGGAAAAGAGCAACAGACAGTGTGAAGGGTCGCGGGAGGGAAGACTATTTGGATATGGAAGAAAAAGAGGGAGTGTAAGTTGAATCTGAAGTTTGAGCCTGGAACCTGGAAGGCAATATAATGTAGTGTATTATAGGGATTAAAAATCACCTGACTTGTGAGTCCAGCATCTTCACTTACTAGATGGGATGACCCTAGAGAATTTATTTAATCATTTGGCATCTCAGTTTCCTCTGTAAAAGAAAAAAATAAAAATAGATTATTATGTTTGTAAAAGCACTTAATACAGTGCAACTTCAGCCCTCAAATCACTATTTTTATGGAATAATTATAGTGTAATATGAAATGGCAATGTCACCGAGGCATGGTGGCTCACATCTGTAATCCCAGCATTTTGGAATGCTGAGGTGGGAGAATTGCTTGAGCCCAGGAGTTTGAGACCAGCGCCTGGGCAACATAGCAAGACCTGTCTGTATTTTAGGAAAAAAAAAATCTTTATTTAAAAAAATGGGACTATTGAGAGGGAAACTGATTTGGTGGGGAAATATAATGGATTTGGCATTAGATATGTATTGTTTGTTTAATTGATTCATAGTCCAAGTTCCAAAAAGAACCTGATATAGTGACCTTTAGACAGATGGAACTTATGTGCTAATGGGACAGCCAAATGATAACCACCCATAGATAGCCTGAAAATGTAGAAGGTGAGATCACAGGGCTGGAAAACTAAGGTTTGAAATTACAGTATTATCATAGCCAGCTCTATCTCTGTGCCAATTAGCCCTTTAAGGAAGGAGTGTTGAAGAAGAGTGTCTGAGCACCATGCTCAGGAAGAGAAAGAAAGGACAAGAGAAAAATAACTGCTTTGTCATCAAGTCAGGAAGGGAACCAGGAAATCAGAAGAGCATAAAGTTGTGGGGGACAAAAGAACTGAGGAGGTAGTCAGCACAAATGCAACATGGAGCTTAAAGGAGATAAAAATAGAAGAGCAGATTAAATTTGGCTGGCTCTCACCAGTGGCCTTTGAAAGAGCAGTTACAATGAAATCAACAGATGTGCAAGCCAGTTTGCAAGATGTAGAAGGAGTATGTATGGAAAGAAAATGAAGGTAAGGGTAGAATCAATTAGCCTTTTCTAGGTCATGGAGAAAGAAAGTGAAGAATGAACACTCCTAGATTTATTCTCAGTCCTTTGATCTATAACTTCTTAGGCATGACTTCCATAACCAGAGCCAGCATTTACCGATACAGATAACTGAGGAGATTTTTTTTTTTTTTTTCATGTTGCAGCAGATGTGACACTCAACTCTCTGGTGTCTGAAGCATTTGTCAGGTTTTTTGTGGAGTTGGTAGGACATTATTCTTTGAACATGACTGTCACGGAGCGTGGGGAGCGTGTTTTCCAACGGGAACCATTCCGTAAGTCTCACACCTCCCGAAGTGTACGCCACTTCCTGGATCTCTTCATGGAGACTCAGATGTTTGCAGGATTCATCCAGGACCGAGAGCTCCGGAAAAGTGGAGTTAAAGGTTGGTTTCATTATTAAGTTCTCCCTCTCTATTTAGTGAATACCTTGAAAGATTTTACTATATTATGAATAAAAAGTATTGTAAAGCAACAAGGACTCAAAATCCGAGTTGTTTATTATGAGAATTGTTTATTTTGTAATATTGTTTTAGCCCTGGAAATAATACACTGGTAATGAGCACAGAGTTTTATGTAATTCCCAGTCTGGAGTGTTAGACAGTTTCACCAACATGAGTTTTTCCTTGTAGGTTTGTTTGAGGTCCGGGCCATCCAGTATTTGGAAACAATTCCTGAGTCAGAGCCCAGTGGGATGAATAGAATTTTGCGGAGTCTTGGTAAGTTGCTGTGTTTTCTTGTTAGATAAATGTTGCTGAAGACCAGGCGCAGTGGCTCATACCTGTAATTCTAGCACTTTACGAGGTCAAGTAAGGAGGTTTGCTTCAGGCCAGGAGTTTGAGACCAGCATGGGCAACATAGTGAGACCCCACCTGTACACAAAATTTTAAAATTAGCTGGACATGGCTTGGCATGGTGGCTTACGCCTGTAATCCCAGCACTTTGGGAGGCTGAGGCAGGTTGATCACCTGAGGTTAGGAGTTCGAGACTAGCTAGCCTGTCCAACATGGTGAAACCCTGTCTCAACTAAAAATACAAAAATTAGCATGGCTTAGTGGCAGGCACCTGTAATGCCAGCTACTTGGGAGGCTGAGACAGAAGAATTGCTTGAACCCAGGAGACAGAGGTTATAGTGAGCAGAGATCACACCAGTGCACTGCAGCCTGGGCGACAAGAGCAAAACTCTCTCTCAAAAAAAAAAAAAAAAAAAAAGTAGGCATGCTGGCACATGCCTGTAGTTCTAGCTACATAGGAGGTTGAGGCCTGAGGGGGATTGCTGGAACCTGGGAGTTTGAGGCCTCAGTAAGATGATCTTGCCACAGACAACAGAGTGAGATTCTTGTCTCTGAAAAAAATAAATAAAAATTTAAAAAATAATAAATAATAAATAAATAAATAAAAATAAAAAATAAATGTGGCTGAAAAAGCTTTGCGGTAAGTGGGCCTCATCACAAAAGCTTTATAATCAGATCAGTAATATAGCCTTAAATAGGCTGACCATAAACCATGATGCTAGTTTCAAAGTGTTCTGGAGAAAAAGAAGCATTTTTCTCAAAATTTCAGATCCCTCATCAGAGTGGTCTGTGGGGCCATTTCCCAGAGATGAACCTCTCTGATAGAGAGGTTTTTATTTATTTCATGATATGTTTGTATATCATGATTATTAATCTTTTCTAGGACACATTCCTTGGAGAAATCTTATAAAAACTGTGGTCCTTTTTCCCAGAAAAATGTATTTATAGCATATAAATAAATTTTGCGTATAATTTTAGGCTGCTCATGTACCCCATGAAGTCTATCCTTGGTACTCCAGATTAAAAACACCTGGTTTAGAGGGACTTCTGAGGCAAAAGAGGATTTCTTACAAGTCTCTAATTTTCTACTTCATAAACACATTTATGATTTTTCAATAATAGTTCATGATCTAGTATGATATAAGAGAACAGGGGTGTGGCTAGCCTAAAATTATGAATAACCTATATTCTATGATATTTATATTTTGTCTTTGAAATATATGCCCCCTAATTAGGCCCTGTCCTTCACTAGTTGACAGACCATGGACATATTAGGCCTTAGGCTGTTATTTCATCTTTATACTATGGGGTTAGATTAGATCAGTGGTTCCCAGCTCTGACTACATTTTATAATCTCCAGAGAACTTTAAAAAATTTTCCCCTGGGCTCCAGGAAATCTCTGGGGAGAAGCCAGGTGATTTTAACCCATAGTCAAGGTTGAAAACCACCGGATTACATGATGTCTGAGTTCTTTTTGACCTCTGCAATTAATTAGACACATGGGGTTTGGGGTTCGTTTTTGTTTTGGTTTTGGTGGTTAAACACATCAACTGAGTTTGAGATGTCAGCTTAACTCTTGGGCTGTTCTGAATGACTGACCGGTTAACCCCTTGCCTCAAATAATGTACAATAAATAAAAATGAATTGAGAGTTCACTGTCCTTTTCTTTCCCTTTAGGAAGTAAAATGAAATTTCTGCAGAAGAAATGAAACCTCTGATTGTCTCCATCCTGAATATACAACAGAAAGTGCCAAAGAAAATATTTTTCCAAGGGTCAGGATCCCATGAAGTATTCTACAAAATTCTTGAAATTTTAAAAGGTTAAAGAGCGAGTCAGGCTGTCGGAGGAGGATTCTCCTGTTGCTGCTGTAGTAATTACTGGAGAATTGTTGGGAATGGTCTGGAACCAATGCCATCTTTACTCTGTCTCCATTTTTTTTTTTTTTATTTTTATAGCAGCCTTTTCTATGTAATTCTTGGGCTCATTCTCTGTTTTGTGCTTCATCTATGAAAGTAGTTGTCTTTCACAAGGAAAAGTCTTGTTGTTACATTTTTAAAAATAGCTCAAAGATGAGAATAAGGAGAGAAATGCTGAGTTTAACACAGTAGAGAGACACGATGGAAATGGAGAACACTGGCCTTATACGCGTAATTCTCATCACTGAACTATCATGGCAGCTTTAAATCCATGGGCTGTTTGACCTGGGCAAAGGAATAGACTCATCACATATCTCCATTATTTTGTCTTATATTATATCTAGGGGAATCTCAGGAGGAAGCCCTACTTGTAATATTATAAAGTACTGTTATTAAGTACCTTATAAAATTAGACATCTTGCAACTCCTCCTCCAAATTGTGTAGCATTTGAGTAGCTTGCTTGTCCCTCACATGTCAACATTAAACTTTGTGGAGGCTGGATCCAGTGGCTCACGCTTGTAATCTCCACCACTTTGGGAGGCTAAGGCAGGAGTTTGAGGGTAGGAGTTTGAGACCAGCCTGGGCAACGTAGCAAGATCCTATCTCTACAAAAACATTTTAAAAATAAGTAAATAAATTTAAACTTTGTGGAATTATAACTATTATGAAAATGTCCTCTCAAGGGCATGGGAGCCACCTTTATTTTTTAGTGTCCACCATGTGCCATGCACTGTGGTATATGTATGCATATCATCTCAACCAATCCTTAAATCAACCTTATGGGATAGATATTTACATCTCCATTTTACTAATAAAGAAACTAAGGCTGGGTGCTGTTACTCACGTCTGTAATCCCAGCACTATGGGAGGCCAAGGCAGGTGGATCATTTGAGGTCAGGGGTTCAAGACCAGCCTGGCCAACATGGTGAAACCCTCTACTAAAAATAAAATAAAAATAAAAATTAGCTGGGCGTGGTGGCAGGTGCCTGTAATCCCGGCTACTTGGGAGGCTGAGTCACGAGAATTGCTTGAGCCCAGGAGGTGGAGGTTGCAGTGAGTGGAGATCGCACCACTGCACTCCAGTCAGGGTGACAGAGAAGACTCCATCTCAAAAAAAAAAAGAAAAAAACACAAATTCAAAGAAGTTAAATAAGTTGCCCAAAGTTATACAACACAGAACTGAAGCCAGGACTTTTATGGACACAAAGTTGGTTAGTCCTCCAGATGGAAATTTCATCTCAGTAGGATTATATAGCTATTTATTTTATTAATAAAAATTTTCTATTAAGTGTACCAGAGCCACTTTTCAGCTCTGAGGATAAGGGACTTTATATATATATGCCTAGATGAGACTCTTTTTATTGCCCTAGAAATGCTGTAATTTTTGCTCTAATTAAATTAGACTCAAAATATGAACATTCCTTGAACATATACCACTTAGTCATCCAGACCTTTAATATCTAAAGTAGTAGTAGTAGTGATTGGAAAGAGAAATTTTTCAGTGATGGTGCAATGTTTTGTGTGTGTGTGTGTGTGTGTGTGTGTGTGTGTGTTTTAAGACGGAGTTTCGCTCTTTTTGCCCAGGCTGGAGCGCAATGGCACGATCTCGGCTCACTGAAACCTCCGCCTCCTGGGTTCAAGCAATTTTCCTGCCTCAGCCTCCCATGTAGCTGGAATTATAGGTGCCCACCACCACACCTGGCTAATTTTGTATTTTTTGTAGAGACGGGGTTTCACCATGTTGGCCAGGCTAGTCTCGAACTCCTGACCTCAGGTGATCCACCCACCTTGGCCTCCCAAAGTGCTGGGATTACAGGCATGAGTCAGTGCACCGGGCCTGTTTGTTGTTGTTTTTTTTTTTCAAATTAATGGGCAAATTCAAGTTCAGATGGTGCACTTTTCATTTATTAATGCTATAGCAAATGTCAGTTTGTTTTCTTCAGTTTCTGCTGATGGTTTCAGCTGGCACAGAAAGTATTTATTCAACCTTACAAAACTGTTAAGTTGTATTGTGATACAGTTTATTGACTTGTACAGTATTTCATTACAACCCATTCAGGTATGCATGAACCTGAAGCAGAACACCATTTAAGACTGGTGCTGTATAATATAATTCCTACAGATGTGGGTCCAGGGAATAGAACTGAGCCTTTTTTTAAATGTTAAGCAGATTACCCTAATGGGGCTTCTACTAGACATCTCTCCATTTGGTCTCTTCTTACACTCCAACCCAGCGGGAACAGTTAATAATTGGATGTTTATAAAATGGGGGTAAAAGGGTTTACTGTGATGGATCCTGGCTATCCCTTTAGGAGGAGACCTTTGCTTCAGGAATGCTGTCTTCGTCTTTGCAGCCTGAAGCTGCTTCATTTCCTTAGGTCTGTTGTGTTTTGTTTCTGTAAAGTGTTATGAATTCTGGATATTTTTGTAAAAGAATCAAGATTTGTATAAAATGTTGTTTACAGATCTTTTAATGAATAAATACATAAAAACCCCACAGATCCCTTGGAGAATTCTTAAGAGGTAAAGATCTTTTATGTCACTTAAATCTACAGCTAGCACATTTACCTAATGGTACTTAGGTAATAAGAATTAGTCTTAGATTCATCAGGCTTAATAATGGAGGTCAACATTTCAAGGCTCTTGGCAGACAAAGCCTGGGTCTAGACCGCACACTGGGCAGGGTATATAGTCTGACAACTTTATTTGGTCTTTAACTGCTTAATAAAAGGGAGGCTGCTTAGTCCAGGAGCCATGAAGAAGACAAAGTGCATGGGCAGCAGCTTGAATGGTTCGGAGACAGGAGTGCCATTCTATTACCGTTTAAGTCCTAAAGGCAAAATGACAGGATTTTTAAGGAACTGAGGTTCCTTTTGATACTCAGAACATAAAGCTTCACAATTTTAATTGGAGACTGGCGCCCAATTCTAGAGCCTCTTTAAGAATTGTACTTATCCAATGCAAAGGTTTTCAGGGTGGCGAGGGGGGAGGATAGTCCGGGTACAGCAAGGAAGTAAAAGAGGAACGACCTGAGGTGCAGTGGCTTACGCCTGTATTCCCCACATTTTAGGAGGCCTAGGCGAGAGGACAGCTTGAGGCCAGCCTTGGCAACATAGGAAGGCTCCAACTCTACAAAAAAATTTTAAAATGGCCGGGCGCTGTGGCTCACGCCTATAATCCCAGCACTTTGGGAGGCCGAGGCGGGCGGGTCACGAGGTCAGGAGATCGAGATCATCCTGGCTAACACGGTGAAAATACAAAAAATTAGCCAGGCATGGTGGCGGACGCCTTGTAGTCCCAGCTACTAGGAGGCTGAGGCAGGAGAATGGCGTGAGCGCAGGAGGCGGAGCTTGCAGTGAGCCGAGATCGCGCCACTGCACTCCAGCCTAGGCGACAGAGTGAGACTCCGTCTCGGAAAAAAAAAAAAATTTAAAAATTAGCCAGGCGTGGTGGTGTGCACCTCTAGGCCCAGCGGCTCAGGAGGCTGAGGTGGAAGGATCGCTTGGGCCTGGGGGGGTTGAGGCTGCAGTGAACTATGATCGCCCCACTGCACTCCAACCTGGGCAGCAGAACAAGACCGTGTGTCCATAATAAAAAAGAGGAAGTCCGGCACAGAGGAAGAGAAAATTAAGGGGAGACGGTGGCAGTAAGCAGAGGTGGGAAATCAGTTATCTCTCCCCGTCAAATCCTGCAGCCAGCTCCCTCCAAAAGTGTTAAGGGGCTCCCGTTCCAGATATCAACGTTTTGGAGGAAACGAAAAGCCCTAACTTCAAATCGCCACCATTCGCTGGCAAAAAAAATACAGTAAGCAGGAGACAGGAAATTGAGGCCTTCCGCTGACGCAGTGAAGCCAAGACTGACGTCACGTCCGCCCAAAACAAAGCAGCCCGGCAATTTCTAGATACCGGGCGGATCCGCCTTCAAAATTATCAACTGAGCATGCGCGAACGTCAATATGCAGGAAACGTGATTACATCAGTGTCAGGCGCCGGCGTATCTAAATAGAACTCAGTTTACGCAGACGCAGAAAACGCAGGCAAACCTGAGGTCCTCAGAATGGCGGGCACGGGTTTGGTGGCTGGAGAGGTTGTGGTGGATGCGCTGCCGTATTTTGATCAAGGTTATGAAGCCCCTGGTGTGCGGGAAGCGGTGAGTGCGGGGTGTCTTTGTAGCTGACTCACTGTTGGCTGGCTCGGTACCGAAAGAAACATGTTACAATTTGCCGCTTCTACCCTGGCCCCAATTCTCTTTCTAAGGCTGCAGCGCTGGTGGAGGAGGAAACTCGCAGATACCGACCTACTAAGAACTACCTGAGCTACCTAACAGCCCCGGATTATTCTGCCTTTGAAGTAAGTATGTCTTGAGCCCGGGTATGAACGAGGATTCCTGTGAACCTTTATTTTGGATTGAGAGCTTCAGCTACGTAAAAGTGATTTTTAGATTCCAGTTTTAACCATTGCTTGTATAGGTATCAGTCTGTTGAAAACAGCTAGCTAGATAAGTCTTCTCCGAGGTTCTTATTCTAAGATCCATAGGAAGACTTTCTGGGACTCCACGACTCACTTAATGCAAAAATTTGTGGCTACAATTCTTTGAGATAGGATCCATGCGTAAATTCTCAGAGGGACCCTCTCCTGCCAAGAGTCACTCTACAGCAGGTGATCTAGAATTTTTTAATATGTATAAGCCTAATTACCTAAGCTCTTTAGAACCACTGGAGAGTGGCGTATTAAAGTCTAGTTATTCACCAAACGTTTGTGGTATGACTGAAGGGACAAACCATATCCAAGTGTATACTACTCTTTTCTCAGCCTTCTCCTTTTTTCTATAATCTGTCCGATGTTTTTATTAACACATTTCTGATTAATGTAGGCAAGAACTTTCCCTGATACGAATACTTTCCAAGTGCTAGGTGCCATTCTAGATTCTGAAATCATAGAGATAAAAATATGTGGGTTTTAAAAAAATATGTATTTTGCTTTATTTTAATTTTTCTTTATTTAAGACAAGCATCGTCTCCAAAAAAAGATAGGGTTTCTGAATACAGAAAAATACAATACAATGAGGAGCTAGATATATAAAACAGAAAGTTTACAATAGTATGTATAAATGTGTAATAATATGTAAAGGACCTGTAGTGGAGGTATATGTAAGGACAAGAGGATTAGAGAAAGGAGTGCCCATGCTTGCCTAGGGAGTCAGATGCTGTTCTACTCCACACAGTGAGTATGATACTATTTTAAATGTATAACCTTGAAGTACACCCAAGATTCTAGTTAGGGTCTAATTAGCTAAGTGAAATGTAAGATATTTCTAAATTATTGGATTCAAGTATTTCAATATGTACAGCTTGGAGTTTTTTTCCCATTATACCTAATCGTTTATTTATGAAAGGATTGTATTATTAAAAGGCAGTATTTAGCTGGGTGTGGTGGGTCACACCTGTAATCCCAGCACTTTAGGAGGCTGAGGTGTGAGGATCACTTGAGACCAGCCTGTGCAGCATAGTGAGACCCTTTCTCTACAAAAGAAAAACTAAAAAATTAGCCAAGCATGATGGCATGCACCTGTAGTCCCAGCCACTCAGGAGGCTGAGGTGGAAGGATCACTTGAGCCTGGAAGTTCAAGGCTGCTACAGTGAGCCATGATAATACCATTGCGCTCCAGCCTGGCGACAGACTGAGATCCTGTCTCAGAGGAAAAAAAAAAAAAAAGATATTATTTGCATTAAAGGAACATGAAAAAATAGTTAAGTTTGTTGTTTTTGTTTGAGACGGAGTCTTACTCTGTCACCCAGGCTGGAGTGCAGTGGTGCCATTTCTGCTCACTGCAACCTCCACCTTCCGGGCTGAGGTGATTCTCCTGCCTCAGCCTCGCGAGCAGCTAGGATTACAGGTGCCTACCACCATGCCTGGCTAATTTTTGTATTTTCAGTAGAGATGGGGTTTCACCACGTTGGCCAGGCTGGTCTTGAACTCCTGGCCTCAAGTGATCCGCCCACCTCATCCTCCCAAAGTGTTGGGATACAGGGTGAGCCACCACGCCCAGCCTTGGCTAAGTTTTAAGTAGAAGACATATGTTCCTATGAACGTGTTTTCCTATGCTTTTTCTAAATATTGTTACCTAGGTGTAGATGTTAACCACATTAAGAACTAAGTACAGTGGCTCACATCTGTAATCCCAGCACTTTGGGAGGCTGAGGCGAGTGGATCACGAGGTCAGGAGATCGAGACCATCCTGGCTGACAGGGTGAAACCCTGTCTCTACTAAAAATACAAAAAATTAACTGGGCATGGTGGCGGGTGCCTGTAGTCCCAGCTACTCAGGAGGCTGAGGCAGAAGAATGGCCTGAATCCGGGAGGCGGAGCTGGCGGTGAGCCAAGATGGCGCCACTGCACTCCAGCCTGGGCGACAGAGCGAGACTCCATCTCATTTAAAAAAAAAAAAAAAGAGAGAGAACTAAGTACAGTAATGCTTCTTGGACTGATTTCTGACGTTTTCAAATAACTGCATTCAATCACAGACTTCTTATAATACTTATGCCAGTTTTTTCCTTCTCTCTTAAATACCTTTGTAGTTAGTTTACTGATTATTTAATTAGCAAACTCCTGGGTTCAAATGATTCTCCTGTAATTAGTTTACTGATTATTTAATCCTTTCTTTTTTTGAGACAGAGTCTTGCTCTGTCGCCTAGGCTGGAGTGCATGCAACTCCTCGGCTCGCTGCAACCTCTGCCTCCTGGGTTCAAGCGATTCTCCTCCCGCAGCCTCCCAAGTAGCTGGGATTACAGGCATGCACTACCATGCCCAACTAATTTTTGTATTTTTAGTACAGACAGGGTTTCACCATTGTGGCCAGGCTGATCTCGAACTCCTGACCTCAAGTGATTCACCTGCCTCGGCCTCCCAAAGTGCTGGGATTACAGGTGTGAGCCACCACACTTGGCATCCTTTCTTAGTAATAGTTGGTAATGTATGCTGGGCTCACTGTCTTTCTTGGTGTACAAAACAGCTCTATAAACTATATAACTATGTTCACTATCCCCATTTTTTTAGCTGGGAAAACTGCAGCTTAGAAAGGCTCATTGACTAAGACCTTAAGCATTCTTCAAACTGCCTCTGAAATTACTCTTTCATTAATTCACTTAACAACTATTTACGAAGGTCTATTCCATGCTGGATATTGGAGAAGAGTATCGGCAGGGTCCATACTTATGAACCTTACAATCTAGAGTGTTGAGATGGACAATAAATAGATCAGAAAAATTGTTGATAAATGCTGCACAGAGAATGATAGTGATAAAGTGACTGGGTGACTCTAGGTTGGGTGGTTGAGGAAGGCCTCTCAAAGCTGAGATGAGACTACTCCATGAGCAGGGATTTCCCCCACCGACCCCGCCGCCCATGACTTAGCTCCACGAACACTGGGTTAGTCTTTGGAGAGAGCTGAGCTAAAATTCCAGATCTATCACTTACTGAGCATGTGAGTTAGTTAAGGGTTC